TGGTTCACACAGGTACAGAGACTCACACATGGTTCACACAGGTACAGAGACTCACACATGGTTCACAAAGAGACTCACACAGGTACACAGGTACAGAGACTCACATGGTTCACACAGAGACTCACACATGGTTCACACAGGTACAGAGACTCACACATGGTTCACACAGGTACAGAGACTCACACATGGTTCACACAGGTACAGATACTCACACATGGTTCACACAGGTACAGATACTCACACAGGTACAGATACTCACACATGGTTCACACAGGTATGGTATAGTGACTCACATGGTACTGAAACCCCTGATCTAATTATGTTAATGTTGAAACGTTGCAGACACGTCGTTCATGTTCATGCTCGCTGGTCTGAGTGTGATGAATCTGTACCAGAAGAGGCACCAGAACCTCACCCCACGGTCCAGGACCTTCTGTGCCTTCATAGCCTTCATCGTGGTCATCTCTGTGAGCGGCGTGGTAAGTTTATACATATTCTGAGGAGCACAGGGACTGGCCTCCTGCTGGGACTCTGAGGAGCACAGGGACTGGCCTCCTGCTGGGACTCTGAGGAGCACAGGGACTGGCCTCCTGCTGGGACTCTGAGGAGCACAGGGACTGGACTCCTGCTGGGACTCTGAGGAGCACAGGGACTGGCCTCCTGCTGGGACTCTGAGGAGCACAGGGACTGGACTCCTGCTGGGACTCTGAGGAGCACAGGGACTGGCCTCCTGCTGGGACTCTGAGGAGCACAGGGACTGGACTCCTGCTGGGACTCCGAGGAGCACAGGGACTGGCCTCCTGCTGGGACTCCGAGGAGCACAGGGACTGGCCTCCTGCTGGGACTCTGAGGAGCACAGGGACTGGCCTCCTGCTGGGACTCTGAGGAGCACAGGGACTGGCCTCCTGCTGGTCCCAGAGTCAGGACTAAACATGAGGAGGCAGGGTTTCAGATGTATGCTATAATCTGGAGCAGTCTTCCTGAAAATGTGAGACAAACTTCTTCTCTGACAATGTTCAAATCCAGGTTAAAACAGTTCTGTTTCTGCAGCAACTGAAGGATTTTATCATCCATCCATTTTCTTCCACTTCATCCGTTGCCGGGTCACGGGGGCAGCAGTCTGAGCAGAGACGCCCAGACTTCCCTCTCACACACTTCCTCCAGCTCGTCCGACCCCGAGGAGTTCCCAGGCCAGCTAAGAGACAGTCCCTCTGTGTCCCGGGTCTCCTCCTGGTCTCCTCCTGGTCTCCTCCCTCTGTGTGCTGGGTCTTCTCCTGGTCTCCTCCCTCTGTGTCCTGGGTCTCCTCCTGGTCTCCTCCCTCTGTGTCCCGGGTCTCCTCCTGGTCTCCTCCCTCTGTGTCCCGGGTCTCCTCCTGGTCTCCTCCCTCTGTGTCCCGGGTCTCCTCCTGGTCTCCTCCCTCTGTGTCCCGGGTCTCCTCCTGGTCTCCTCCCTCTGTGTCCTGGGTCTCCTCCTGGTCTCCTCCCTCCGTGTCCCGGGTCTCCTCCTGGTCTCCTCCCTCTGTGTCCTGGGTTTCCTCCTGGTCTCCTCCCGGTGGGACATGCCCGGAACACCTCCCTAGGGAGGCCAGGCTCAGAGGTCCCGTCGTCGCGCCATGGAACAGACAATGGGACAACGGGTGAATAGCAATGAACAAACTACAGTCAAAATCCTAAAAATGCTAAACAGGTAAAGTAGGAAGGAGGAGAGGATAGTGCTCAAGTTTCCATTCTTCTCCAGCAGGGGGCGCCCTATGCAGCTTGAATCCTGTGGTCTCCAAACCGGACCCCCTCCGGCCCCTGGCTGCGCCTAGAAAGGGCAGCCCTGTCGGAGGCCAACATTCACCGGGAACAGGTCTGACTTACTGCCGGCAATGCGAACACAGCTCTGGCTCCGGTCATACAGGGACCGAACAGCCCTCAGCAGAGGACCCCGGACCCCGTACTCCCGGGGAACCCCCCAAAGGACACCCCGGGGAACACGATCGAACGCCTTCTCCAAATCCACAAAGCACATGTGGACTGAGGCGAACTCCCATGAACCCTCGAGTATCCGATGGAGAGTATAGAGCTGGTCCAGTGTTCCACGACCGGGACGAAAACCACACTGCTCCTCCTGAATCCGAGATTCGACCATCGGCCGTAGCCTCCTCTCCAGTACCTTGGAGTAGACCTTAGGCTGAGGAGTGTGATCCCACGATAATTGGAACACACCCTCCGGTCCCCCTTCTTGTAGAGAGGGACCACCACCCAGTCTGCCACTCCATTGGCACTGCCCCCGATCGCCACGCGATGTTGCAGAGACGTGTCAGAGACAGTCCTACAACATCAATATCCCCAGTCGAGGTCAGCAGCCCTCCACCCGCACCGTACATGGTGTTGGCAAAGAACTGCTTCCCCCTCCTGAGGCGCCGGATGGTTTGCCAGAATCTCTTCGAGGCCGACCGATAGTCATGCTCCATGGACTCTCCGAACTCCTCCCAGTCCCGGGTTTTTGCCTCTGCAACAGCCAGGGTCGCGGCTCGCTTGGCCTGCCGGTACTGGACAGCTGCCTCAGGAGTCCCACTAACCATCATGGCTCGATAGGACTCCTTCTACAGTCTGACAGCATCCCTTACTTCTGGTGTCCACCACCGGGTTCGGGGGTTACTGCCGGGACCAGCACAGAGACCTTGCGACCACAGCTTTGAGCTGCCGCATCGGCGGGACCTGAGAGAAGCTCTCCCGGAGGTGTGAGTTGAAAGTCTGTCTGACAGGGGAGTCAGCGAGACCAGCAGACCCTGACTCATGCTTGGGTCAGAGCCAGGTCTGACCGGCTTCCTCCTGCAGCAGATCCAACTCACAACCGGGTGGTGATCTGTGACAGTTCCGCCCCTCTTTAGCCCCGCCCCTCTCTTCACACGAGTGTCCGAGACACACGGGTGAAGGTCAGATGATACGACAACAAAGAGGATCATCGACTTCCGCCCTCAGGTCCTGGCGCCCCCTGGTGTGTGTCCTGGCGCCCCCTGGTGTCTGTCCTGGCGCCCCCTGGTGTCTGTCCTGGTGCCCCCTGGTGTCCCCTGGTGTGTGTCCTGGTGCCCCCTGGTGTGTGTCCTGGTGCCCCCTGGTGTCGGTCCTGGTGCCCCCTGGTGTGTGTGGTGGTGCCCCCTGGTGTGTGTCCTGGTGCCCCCTGGTGTGTGTCCTGGTGCCCCCTGGTGTGTGTCCTGGTGCCCCCTGGTGTCGGTCCTGGTGCCCCCTGGTGTGTGTGGTGGTGCCCCCTGGTGTGTGTCCTGGTGCCCCCTGGTGTGTGTCCTGGTGCCCCCTGGTGTGTGTCCTGGTGCCCCCTGGTGCTGGAACACGGTGTTTGATTTTATCTTTACTCAGTTACTTAATAACTGTGATTATTCATGGTTCTAAGCCTTGTGTGACTGTTTCTTGTTTGTTTCTTCCAGGTTGTTGAAGACGGGAGCCCTGTGTTCTGGACGTTCTTCTCCCTCTTTCACTTGGTGGTTGTGGTCGTCCTCAGTCGTCTGCTCTTCACCGGGAAAACTCCAAAGGGTATAAAACTATAAAGTAGTACCAGCTGAACCAGAGGAGCAGCATTTAACCTCCATGGTACAGATGGTTTATCCTCCATGGTACAGATGGTTTATCCTCCATGGTACAGATGGTTTATCCTCCATGGTACAGATGGTTTATCCTCCATGGTACAGATGGTTTATCCTCCATGGTACAGTGTTTGCAAATGATGGAGTAAAATAAGTTTTAATGAGTAAAAGTCTCTCTCTGGTCTCTCTTTATAATAATCTACTATAATAATCTACTGCAATCTACTATAATAATCTACTCTGGTCTCTCTCTCTGGTCTCTCTCTCTGGTCTCTCTCTCTGGCCACTCTGGTCTCTCTCTGGTCTCTCTCTGGTCTCTCTCTCTCTCTGGTCTCTCTCTGGTCTCTCTCTCTCTCTGGTCTCTCTCTGGTCTCTCTCTGGTCTCTCTCTCTCTCTGGTCTCTCTCTGGTCTCTCTCTCTCTCTGGTCTCTCTCTGGTCTCTCTCTGGTCTCTCTCTCTCTCTGGTCTCCCTCTGGTGTCTCTCTGGTCTCTCTCTGGTCTCTCTCTGGTCTCTCTCTGGTCTCTCTCTGGTCTCTCTCTGGTCTCTCTGGTCTCTCTCTGGTCTCTCTCTGGTCACTGTGGTCTCTCTCTGGTCTCTCTCTGGTCTCTCTCTCTCCCTCATACTGCCACCCAGAGGCTAAACTATGACAGTGCATGAACCCTCACCATAAAGAAACAAAAGAAGTAGGAGAATGACCAGGAGATGGCGTGAGCGTTGGCCTTTTGGGTCTCCAGAGCTAACACTTCTAATGTGTCCTTCACAGTCTGCCCCCTGCTGTGTAACCGCTGCCCGCCGTCAGACCGCTGCCCGCCGTCAGACCGCTGCCCGCCGTCAGACCGCTGCCCGCCGTCAGACCGCTGCCCGCCGCGCGACAGCTGCCTGGATGCTGTAAGTTACTTTTCTTTGATTCCATCTATCATTAGGAAGCTCTGATCCAAAGGTGCGAGTGTTGAGAAACTGATCCATCACCTTCAAATGAGCTTCTATTGATTTGATTTAAGTCATTCATCCAGTTTCTAGTTTGTAAATAAAATGTTCTCCTGGTTCAGTGTCGGCTGGTGTTGCTGGTGCTGGTGAACCTGGTCAACGTGTCTCTGTGAGTGAAGGAGAAATCCACAGTTGTTTTAAGCATCATAAACATTTGAACCCTTTTCCCTGTGACAGAGCCGTGTATGGACTCGTTCAGAGACCAGCGGACTTCGATTCTCATCTTTTGGCCATTTTTATTGTGAATCTGATTCTGTACCTTGGATTTTACATCTTCATGAAGGTTTGTACATTAAATTATTACATTATACAGGCTGTAGACCCAGGACTGAGACTGTAGACCCAGGACTGACAGGGCTGAGGCTGTAGACCCAGGACTGACAGGGCTGAGGCTGTAGACCCAGGACTGAGGGTGTATCTGTCGTTGGTGAATCGATAGAAATATAAATAGTTCATCTGTAAATACAAACTATTTTGTAAATCCTTTCATCTCAAAGATGTGACGGTTGTTTGTGTTGCAGATGGTGAGTGGAGAAGGCCTCACGTATCTGACGGTTTTCTACTCTGTTCTCACTGCGGTCTTTTGGGGATTTTCTCTGTACTTCTTCAACCGAGATCTGACCAACTGGGAGGTCAGTGTCTCTTCTGTGTCCTGTTTAGTTTTCAAAGAATTTACTGCAAGGTAAGTTTGGTTCCATCTGAGAGAGTCCTCTGTAAAGTCTGTAAAGTCCTCTGTAAAGTCCTCTGTAAAGTCTGTAAAGTCCTCTGTAAAGTCTGTAAAGTCCTCTTTAAAGTTTGTAAAGTCCTCTGTAAAGTTTGTAAAGTCCTCTGTAAAGTCTGTAAAGTCCTCTTTAAAGTTTGTAAAGTCCTCTGTAAAGTCCTCTGTAAAGTTTTTAAAGTCCTCTGTAAAGTCCTCTGTAAAGTCTGTAAAGTCCTCTTTAAAGTTTGTAAAGTCCTCTGTAAAGTCCTCTGTAAAGTTTTTAAAGTCCTCTGTAAAGTCCTCTGTAAAGTTTGTAAAGTCCTCTGTAAAGTCTGTAAAGTCCTCTGTAAAGTTTGTAAAGTCTGTAAAGTCCTCTGTAAAGTTTGTAAAGTCCTCTGTAAAGTCTGTAAAGTCCTCTGTAAAGTTTGTAAAGTCCTCTGTAAAGTCTATAAAGTCCACTGTAAAGTCTGTGAAGTCCTGTAAAGTCATCTGTAAAGTTTGTAAAGTCCCCTGTAAAGTCTGTAAAGTCATCTGTAAAGTTTGTAAAGTCCCCTGTAAAGTCTGTAAAGTCCTCTTTGACGACAGCTCAGAGTGGATTATTTCTTCTTCTGCTCAGAGTGTGTTATTTCTTCTTCTTCAGGTGTCGGCCGCAGAGTCTCGTGAGAAGAACCGAGAGTGTGTTCTGTGGTCGTACTTCGACCATCATGACGTCTGGCACTTCCTGTCATCTGTCGCTCTGTTCGGATCCTTCCTGGTACACACACTTTATACTGTGTAATCTACAGTAATCTATAATTAATAATAATCTACTGTAATCTACTATAATAATCCACTGCAATCTATGAAAAAATAATCTACTATAATAATCTACTGCAATCTACTATAATAATCTACTGTAATCTACTATAATAATCTACTGTAATCTACTATAATTATCTACTGCAATCTACTATAATAATCTACTGCAATCTACTATAATAATCTACTGCAATCTACTATAATAATCTACTCTAATAATATACTGTAATCTACTATAAAAATCTACTGCAATCTACTATAATTATCTACTGCAATCTACTTTAATAATCTACTATAATAATCTACTGTAATCTACTATAATAATCTACTGCAATCTACTATAATAATCTACTGCAATCTACTAAAATAATCTACTGTAATCTACTATAATAATCTACTGCAATCTACTAAAATAATCTACTGTAATCTACTATAATCTACTAAAATAATCTACTGCAATCTACTAAAATAATCTACTGTAATCTACTATAATAATCTACTATAATAATCTACTGTAATATCTACTATAATAATCTACTATAATAATCTACTATAATAATATACTATAATAATCTACTATAATAATCTACTCTAATAATCTACTATAATAATCTACTGCAATCTACTATAATAATCTACTGTAATCTACTCTAATCATCGACAATAATAATCGACAATAATAATCTACTGTAATCTACTCTAATAATCTGCTGTAATCTACTATTATAATCTACTGTAATCTACTATAATAATCTACTGCAATCTACTCTAATAATCTACTATAATAATCTACTTTAATCTACCCTAATAATCTACTGTAATCTACTGCAATCTACTATAATAATCTACTGCAATCTACTATAATAATCCACTGTAATAATCTACTGTAATAATCTACTGTAATCTACTATAATAATCTACTGCAATCTACTCTAATAATCTACTGTAATCTACTATAATAATCTGCAATCTACTATAATAATCTACTGCAATCTACTGTAATCTACTATAACAATCTACTGCAATCTACTATAATAATCTACTGCAATCTACTATAATAATCTACTGTAATCTACTATAATAATCTACTGTAATAATCTACTATAATAATCTACTGCAATCTACTATAATAATCTACTGTAATAATCTACTGCAATCTACTATAATAATCTACTGTAATCTACTCTAATAATCTACTCTAATGATCTACTGTAATCTACTCTAATAATCTACTATAATAATCTACTGTAATCGACTATAATAATCTACTCTAATAATCTACTATAATAATCTACTGCAATCTACTATGATAATCTACTGTAATCTACTCTAATAATCTACTCTAATCTACTATTATAATCTACTGTAATCTACTATAATAATCTACTTTAATCTACTCTAATAATCTACTGTAATCTACTATAGTAATCTACTGCAATCTACTATAATAATCTACTGCAATCTACAATAATAATCCACTGTAATAATCTACTGCAATCTACTATAATAATCTACTGTAATCTACTATAATAATCTGCAATCTACTATAATAATCTACTGTAATCTACTAAAAAATCTACTGTAATCTACTATAATAATCTACTGTAATCTACTATAATCTACTGCAATCTACTATAATAATCTACTGCAATCTACTATAATAATCTACTGTAATCTACTAAAAAATCTACTGTAATCTACTATAATAATCTACTGTAATCTACTATAATCTACTGCAATCTACTATAATAATCTACTGCAATCTACTATACTAATCTACTGTAATCTACTATAATAATCTACTGTAATAATCTACTATAATAATCTACTGCAATCTACTATAATAATCTACTGTAATCTACTCTAATAATCTACTCTAATGATCTACTGTAATCTACTCTAATAATCTACTATAATAATCTACTGTAATCGACTATAATAATCTACTATAATAATCTACTATAATAATCTACTGCAATCTATTATGATAATCTACTGTAATCTACTATAATAATTGACTATAATAATCTACTGTAATCTATTAAAAAATCTACTGTAATCTACTATAATAATCTACTGTAATCTACTATAATCTACTGCAATCTACTATAATAATCTACTGCAATCTACTATAATAATCTACTGTAATCTACTAAAAAATCTACTGTAATCTACTATAATAATCTACTGTAATCTACTATAATCTACTGCAATCTACTATAATAATCTACTGCAATCTACTATAATAATCTACTGTAATCTACTATAATAATCTACTATAATAATCTACTGTAATCTACTCTAATAATCTACTCTAATGATCTACTGTAATCTACTCTAATAATCTACTATAATAATCTACTGTAATCGACTATAATAATCTACTATAATAATCTACTATAATAATCTACTGCAATCTATTATGATAATCTACTGTAATCTACTCTAATAATTGACTATAATAATCTACTGTAATCTACTCTAATAATCTACTCTAATCTAATATTACAATCTACTGTAATCTACTATAATAATCTACTTTAATCTACTCTAATAATCTACTGTAATCTACTATAGTAATCTACTGCAATCTACTATAATAATCTACTGCAATCTACAATAATAATCCACTGTAATAATCTACTGTAATAATCTACTGCAATCTACTATAATAATCTACTGTAATCTACTATAATAATCTGCAATCTACTATAATAATCTACTGTAATCTACTAAAAAATCTACTGTAATCTACTATAATAATCTACTGTAATCTACTATAATAATCTACTGCAATCTACTATAATAATCTACTACAATCTACTATAATAATCCACTGTAATAATCTACTGTAATTTTTTCAATAATAATCTACTGTAATCTACTATAATAATCTACTGTAATCTATAACAATCTACTGTAATAATCTACTGTAATCTACTATAACAATCTACTGTAATAATCTACTGTAATCTACTATAATAATCTACTGTAATAATCTACTTGTCGCATGGCGCCGTAAAGATGGCGCCGTGGCAAGAGCTCTGGTGTGTGTCGTCTTCTCTGTCTGGTGCACACCGGGGTAGTCTTGCACAGTTTTTCCAATGTGGTTTTACTGCAAATGGCAAATAAATGAATCTGAATCTGAATCTACTATCATAATTAACTGTAATAATCTACTATAATCTACTAGAATAATCTACTGTAATCTACTATAATAATCTATTGTAATAATCCACTGTAATAATCTACTGTAATATTCAATAATAATCTACTGTAATCTACTATAATAATCTACTGCAATCTACTATAATAATCTACTGTAATCTACTATAATAATCTACTATAATCTACTATAACAATCTACTATAATAATCTACTGTAATCTATTATAACAATCTACTATAATAATCTACTGCAATCTACTATAATAATTTACTGTAATCTACTCTAATAATCTACTGCAATCTACTATAATAATCTGCAATCTACTATAATAATCTACTGTAATTTACTAAAATAATCTACTGTAATCTACTATAATAATCTACTGTAATCTACTATAGTAATCCACTGCAATCTACTATAATAATCTACGGCAATCTACTATAATAATCTACTGTAATAATCTACTGTAATATTCAATAATAATCTACTATAATAATCTACTGTAATCTACTATAACAATCTACTATAATAATCTACTGTAATCTATAACAATCTACTATAATAATCTACTGTAATCTACTATAACAATCTACTATAATAATCTACTGTAATCTATAACAATCTACTATAATAATCTACTGTAATCTACTATAACAATCTACTATAATAATCTACTGCAATCTACTATAATAATCTACTGTAATAATCTACTGTAATCTACTATAATAATCTACTGCAAACTACTATAATACTCTGCAATCTACTATAATAATCTACTGTAATCTACTATAATAATCTACAGTAATCTACTATAGTAATCCACAGAAATCTACTATAATAATCTACTGCAATCTACTATAAAAATCTACTGTAATCTACTATAATAATCTACTATAATCTTCTATAATAATATAGGACTGAGGCTGTAGACCCAGGACTGAGGCTGTAGACCCAGGACATAGACCATAATGATTATAATGTATTTTATTTTTTTTGGCGTCTATTGTTAATGACTTTCCTCCGTGTTTTCTCTCTTCTGTAGATGCTTCTGACGATCGACGACAACATCGATTCTGTCCCGAGAAGCAAGATCCCTACTTTCTAAATCCTGAAACAGCTCTGTCCTGGATGTAGAGAGAAACCATGTGTATACGAAAATATGGTTTGGGGATTTTATGTGAAACATCAGAAAAATGCATTATACTTTGCTTCTGCTTAGTACCGCTGTAGCTAACCATAAATGAAAATAATCTAATATGACACGGGCGCTCTGTTCGTATCAACAAATGAGTGTCTCACACCCTGCCATGACCAAACAAGGGCACCCTGCCATGACCAAACAAGGGCATCCTACCATGACCAAACAAGGGCATCCTGCCATGACCAAACAAGGGCACCCTGCCATGACCAAACAAGGGCACCCTGCCATGACCAAACAAGGGCACCCTGCCATGACCAAACAAGGGCACCCTGCCATGACCAAACAAGGGCACCCTGCCATGACCAAAAAAGGGCATCCTGCCATGACCAAACAAGGGCACCCTGCCATGACCAAACAAGGGCACCCTGCCATGACCAAACAAGGGCACCCTGCCATGACCAAACAAGGGCATTCTGCCATGACCAAACAAGGGCATCCTGCCATGACCAAACAAGGGCACTCTGCCATGACCAAACAAGGGCACCCTGCCATGACCAAACAAGGGCATCTTGCCATGACCAAACAAGGACACCCTGCCATGACCAAACAAGGGCATCCTTCCTAAGTAGCCTCTGGCAGGGGTTGTAGTCGAGTCGTCTTGTGAAGATACCACTTATTATTTTGTTTGCGCTGAGGCTGTTGCTGCTGTTGCCTTTTTCAATAAACGAGTCTCTGGACTCACTAAAGACACCGATTGTATTCTTCACTTTTCTTCATTCTCCAGAACATTTGAGGATTTCGGTGGGACCGCGCAATGCAGCCCCGGGTTTTTGGTGAGTAGTAATTTTAGACTGTTTGGTTTCCCACCGGCCTCTGCTCCTCAGGGTTCGCTGCATCAAAGGGAAAGCTTAAGAAGGGAACAGCCTCCCAGACCCAGCATCAGCGTCAGGAGAGTCCGTCAGATAGAGTCCGTCACAGAGAGTCCGTCGCAGAGAGTCCGTCGCAGAGAGTCCGTCGCAGAGAGTCTGTCGCAGAGAGTCCGTCGCAGAGAGTCCGTCACAGAGAGTCCGTCACAGAGAGTCCGTCACAGAGAGTCCGTCAGAGAGAGTCCGTCACAGAGTCCGTCAGAGAGAGTCCGTCAGAGAGAGTCCGTCACAGAGTCCAGAGAGTCCGTCGCAGAGAGTCCAGAGAGTCCGTCACAGAGAGTCCAGAGAGTCCGTCACAGGGTCCGTCGCAGAGAGTCCGTCGCAGAGAGTCCGTCACAGAGAGTCCGTCACAGAGTCCGTCACAGAGAGTCCGTCACAGAGAGTCCGTCACAGAGAGTCCAGAGAGTCCGTCACAGAGAGTCCGTCACAGAGAGTCCAGAGAGTCCGTCACAGAGAGTCCGTCACAGAGAGTCCGTCACAGAGAGTTCGTCGCAGAGAGTCCGTCGCAGAGAGTCCGTCGCAGAGAGTCCGTCACAGAGAGTTCGTCACAGAGAGTCCATCACAGAGAGTCCGTCACAGAGAGTCCGTCACAGAGAGTCCGTCACAGAGTCCGTCGCAGAGAGTTCGTCACAGAGAGTCCGTCACAGAGAGTCCGTCACAGAGAGTCCGTCGCAGAGAGTCCGTCGCAGAGAGTCCGTCACAGAGTCCGTCACAGAGAGTCCGTCACAGAGAGTCCGTCACAGAGAGTCCGTCACAGAGAGTTCGTCACAGAGAGTCCGTCGCAGAGAGTCCGTCACAGAGAGTCCGTCACAGAGAGTCCGTCACAGAGTCTGTCACAGAGAGTGTTCGTCACAGAGAGAGGGAAAGAACTCCTGGTTAGAGTTCTGGGAGACTCGCTGTTTACACCATGTGAGCTGTTTACACCATGTGAGCTGCCGTTACCTCCTGGTGTCAAACAAACTGGACCAGAACCATCATGTGACTTTACATAAAACTACCCAGTGTGGTCGATGTTCTAAACTAGACTGTCGTTGTCATAGAAACGTAATCAAGTTGTTTTTATTGTTTATTTGTCGATGGAAAAAGCACAACATTATTTAGCCACAGCACATGGAGCAGACAGTCCTCCAGAATGCATTGGAACATTCTCAAACATGAAAAGCAAAGTATCTGTGTGCTCTGGACTGAGGAGCATCACAGAGCATCACAGAGCATCACAGAGCATCACAGAGCAGGGGGAGGGAGGCACAGGTCCTGGATCTGCTGGGCCAGGCTCAGACAGTGCAGGACTCTCCTCTTCTCTCGCTGCAGAGCCTCTGGAGACACTCGTCCCGTCAGCTTCTCCCCAAACAGCACCAAGTCCTGCATGAATAGCCCCACAGCGCCCCTGCTGGCCAGCGGAGGGAACTGTGTCAGGGTGAAGGCCTCGAAGCAGAAGTGGATCTGTTTGGCTCTGGGCAGGTTTGGACCACGCTCCTCGATCCACGTCAGGGGCCTGGATCCACAGGGAAAACAGATCAGAGAAAGAGAGAAAGAGAGAGAGAAAGACAGTAAGAGATGTCCTGACACACTGTCTATTAGGGGTGGGAACCTAAGGGTACCTCACGATACGATACGATACACGATACAAAGCTCACAATAACGATAATATCACGATAACGATTTTATCACGATATGACGATTATTGATATATTGGTCAGAAATATACAATATGCCAATTTATGGCATAAATAAAAGAAAAAATACTCTTTATTTCATGATAAATAGAATGGAGATGCGTAATGTAGCCATATATTAAGTATTGATACCAATTTTAAAAAAAAAACAAGTTAAAAAAAAAACATTTAATTTTTTTTTTCAAAATCGATACTCTGCAAATGCATATCGATAATCGAATCGCGGGAGAAAGTATCGCACCCCTACTGTCTATGCCAGGTCCAGGAGTCAGAGAGAGCCCTGGGCCTGAGCTCACCGGTCCTCTGAGGTCCGTAGCTGTGCCGTCATCTTGCTGTAGCCGTTACTTGGATCTTCCTGTAAAGACGCTGCGGTGACGCTCAGTTCTCCAAACAGATCAACGAGCCACGTCAGCCTCGCGATGCCACTGAAGGCCAGGAACCCGAACCGCGGCTTGAGACTCCCCCCTGACACAGGACCAAGGGCAGGCTTTGTCAGAGTACAACCGAGACATGTTAGTGCCATAACTTCATTATACTTTATTGTCCAGGTATGGCCTTTGCATGTGACCCGTCCCTCTCTGCATGTGACCCGTCCCTCTCTGCATTTGACCCGTCCCTCTCTGCATTTGACCCGTCCCTCTGCATTTGACCCGTCCCTCTCTGCATTTGACCCGTCCCTCTCTGCATTTGACCCGTCCCTCTCTGCATTTGACCCGTCCCTCTCTGCATTTGACCCGTCCCTCTCTGCATTTGACCCGTCCCTCTCAGCATTTGACCCGTCCCTCTCTGCATTTGACCCGTCCCTCTCAGCATTTGACCCGTCCCTCTCTGCATTTGACCCGCCCCTCTCTGCATTTGACCTGCCCCTCTCTGCATTTGACCTGCCCTCTCTGCATTTGACCTGCCCCTCTCTGCATTTGACCTGCCCTCTCTGCATTTGACCCGCCTCTCTCTGCATTTGACCCGTCCTTCTCTGCCCGTCGGCCTCTGTCAGGAGCAGTGGACCCAGCTCCAGATGTAGATGCTCGGCCTGGACAGGACCAAGGCAGGAGGTACCTTTTATACAAGTTTTTAGTGGTAGGGGAAACAAGAGAGAGACCAGAGAAAGAGAGACACCAGAGAGAGAGAGACCAGAGAGAGACCAGAGATAGACCAGAGAGAGGGACCAGAGAGAGGGACCAGAGAGAGACCAGAGAGAGACCAGAGAGAGACCAGAGAGAGACCAGAGAGAGACCAGAGAGAGACCAGAGAGAGACCAGAGAGAGACCAGAGAGAGGGACCAGAGAGAGACCAGAGAGAGAGACCAGAGAGGGACCAGAGAGAGACCAGAGATAGACCAGAGAGAGAGACCAGAGAGAGAGACCAGAGAGGGACCAGAGAGGGACCAGAGAGAGACCAGAGAGAGACCAGAGAGGGACCAGAGAGGGACCAGAGAGAGAGACCAGAGAGGATTTTATCTTTTTAAAATGTTTTTAGTGGTAGTCAAAACCAGAGCAAACGCAGACATGAGACCTTCTGTCTGAGAAGCGGCAGTACTAACCACTCAGCCACTGTAAGGCCCGATGAACCCAGTGGGCCTCTGGACACATGTCTAGGCCTCAGGCTGGGCCTCAGGCTGGGCCTCAGGCTGGGCCTCAGGCTGGTCCAAACACTGTGGTGTCAGTTTCTCACCAGTGAAATGCAGAGTTCCCTCCTGCAGCTTCTGTCCGTCCACTTTCTCCTTCAGCCATTTATAATCTGCAGTGAGCAGCTCGATGTGTTCTTCATGAAGGACCACTCCTGTCAACAACACACACCTGCATTAGACCTGCTGTAGACCTGCTTTAGACCCGCTTTAGACCCGCTTTAGACCCGCTTTAGACCCGCTTTAGTCCTGCTTTAGACCTGCTGTAGACCTGCTGTAGACCTGCTTTAGACCCGCTTTAGACCCGCTTTAGACCCGCTTTAGACCCGCTTTAGTCCTGCTTTAGACCTGCTGTAGACCTGCTTTAGACCCGCTTTAGACCCGCTTTAGACCCGCTTTAGACCCGCTTTAGACCCGCTTTAGTCCTGCTTTAGACCCGCTTTAGACCCGCTTTAGACCCGCTTTAGTCCTGCTTTAGTCCTGCTGTAGACCGGCTTTAGTCCTGCTTTAGACCGGCTTTAGTCCTGCTTTAGACCGGCTTTAGTCCGGCTTTAGACCCGCTTTAGACCCGCTTTAGTCCTGCTTTAGTCCTGCTTTAGACCGGCTTTAGTCCTGCTTTAGACCCGCTTTAGACCTGCTTTAGACCCGCTTTAGTCCTGCTTTAGACCCGCTTTAGTCCTGCTTTAGACCCGCTTTAGACCTGCTTTAGACCCGCTTTAGTCCTGCTGTAGACCGGCTTTAGTCCTGCTTTAGACCGGCTTTAGACCTGCTTTAGACCCGCTTTAGTCCTGCTGTAGACCCGCTTTAGTCCCGCTTTAGTCCCGCTTTAGACCTGCTTTAGACCTGCTTTAGACCTGCTTTAGTCCTGCTTTAGTCCCGCTTTAGACCTGCTTTAGACCTGCTTTAGACCTGCTTTAGTCCTGCTTTAGTCCTGCTTTAGTCCTGCTTTAGTCCTGCTTTAGTCCTGCTTTAGTCCTGCTTTAGAATCAGACCTGAGTCAGACTGATGTCTCTCCAGGGCCTCATGCAGCTAAAGTCTGGAACAGTCTTCCTGACAATGTGAGACAGGCTTCTTCTCTGATGTTCATATCCAAACACTAGTCAGCTGCAAATATGACTTGACCCCATAAACATTCTAACAAAAGGTTTTTCAGACGTTTACAGCAGTAACAGACGTTTACAGCAGTAACAGACGTTTACAGCAGTAACAGACGTTTACAGCAGTAACAGACGTTTACAGCAGTATCAGACGTTTACAGCAGTAACAGACGTTTACAGCAGTAACAGACGTTTACAGCAGTAACAGACGTTTACAGCAGTAACGGACGTTTACAGCAGTAACAGACGTTTACAGCAGTAACAGACGTTTACAGCAGTAACAGACGTTTACAGCAGTAACAGACGTTTACAGCAGTAACAGACGTTTACAGCAGTAACAGACGTTTACAGCAGTAACAGACGTTTACAGCAGTAACAGACGTTTACAGCAGTAACAGACGTTTACAGCAGTAACAGACGTTTACAGCAGTAACGGACGTTTACAGCAGTAACAGACGTTTACAGCAGTAACAGACGTTTACAGCAGTAACAGACGTTTACAGCAGTAACAGACGTTTACAGCAGTAACAGACGTTTACAGCAGTAACAGACGTTTACAGCAGTATCAGACGTTTACAGCAGTAACAGACGTTTACAGCAGTAACAGACGTTTACAGCAGTAACAGACGTTTACAGCAGTAACAGACGTTTACAGCAGTAACAGACGTTTACAGCAGTAACAGACGTTTACAGCAGTAACAGACGTTTACAGCAGTAACAGACGTTTACAGCAGTAACAGACGTTTACAGCAGTATCAGACGTTTACAGCAGTAACAGACGTTTACAGCAGTAACGGACGTTTACAGCAGTAACGGACGTTTACAGCAGTAACAGACGTTTACAGCAGTAACAGACGTTTACAGCAGTAACAGACGTTTACAGCAGTAACAGACGTTTACAGCAGTAACAGACGTTTACAGCAGTAACAGACGTTTACAGCAGTAACAGACGTTTACAGCAGTAACAGACGTTTACAGCAGTAACAGACGTTTACAGCAGTAACAGACGTTTACAGCAGTATCAGACGTTTACAGCCATCTTGAAAATGACACCTTTCCAGTGGTCAAACTTTAGTTTGTTATTAAGGACCTGACGCTACAGAAAACACCTGAGAAACCTTTTGTTAGCTGCTTTTTTTCATATATGCACCTACACCGCGGTCCTCAGACTCACCGCGGTCCTCAGACTCACCGTGTTCCTCAGACTCACCGCGGTCCTCAGACTCACCGTGTTCCTCAGACTCACCTGAGGAATGTTCTTCAGACTCACCGTGTTTCCTCAGACTCACCGTGTTCCTCAGACTCACCGTGTTCCTCAGACTCACCGTGTTCCTCAGACTCACCGTGTTCCTCAGACTCACCGTGTTCCTCAGACTCACCGTGTTCCTCAGACTCACCGTGTTCCTCAGACTCACCGTGGTCCTCAGACTCACCGTGTTCCTCAGACTCACCGTGTTCCTCAGACTCACCGTGTTCCTCAGACTCACCGTGGTCCTCAGACTCACCGTGGTCCTCAGACTCACCGTGTTCCTCAGACTCACCGTGGTCCTCAGACTCACCGTGTTCCTCAGACTCACCGTGGTCCTCAGACTCACCGTGGTCCTCAGACTCACCGTGGTCCTCAGACTCACCGTGTTCCTCAGACAGGGCCCACAGCTCCACAGCTGCTGCATGGTTCAGGGTCATCGGGTACTCCACACACACATGCTTCCCCTCAGACAGGAACTGCCTGCAACAGGACCAGAGTGAGACCAGAGAGAGACCAGAGTGAGAGAGACCAAAGAGAGACCAAAGAGAGACCAGAGTGAGAGAGACCAGAGTGAGAGAGACCAGAGCGAGACCAGAGTGAGAGAGACCAGAGAGAGACCAGAGCGAGAGAGACCAGAAAGAGACCAGAGTGAGAGAGACCAGAAAGAGACCAGAGTGAGAGAGACCAGAGAGAGACCAGAGTGAGAGACCAGAGCGAAAGAGACCAGAGAGAGACCAGAGAGAGACCAGAGAGAGACCAGAGAGAGAGAGACCAAAGAGAGACCAGAGTGAGAGAGACCAGAGCGAGAGAGACCAGAGGGAGAGAGACCAAAGAGAGACCAGAGTGACAGAGACAAGAGCGAGAGAGACCAGAGAGAGACCAGAGCGAGACCAGAGAGAGACCAGAGAGAGACCAGAGAGAGACCAGAGAGAGACCAGAGAGAGACCAGAGAGAGAGACCAGAGAGAGACCAGAGAGAGAGACCAGAGAGAGACCAGAGAGAGAGACCAGAGAGAGACCAGAGAGAGAGACCAGAGAGAGACCAGAGAGAGACCAGAGAGAGACCAGAGAGAGACCAGAGAGAGACCAGAGAGAGAGACCAGAGAGAGACCAGAGAGAGACCAGAGAGAGACCAGAGAGAGAGACCAGAGAGAGACCAGAGAAAGACCAGAGAGAGAGACCAGAGTGAAGCCGTGTTCAGAGCGGATCAGGCTGCGTCAGCTTTCAAAGCAAAGTCAATGGTGACGTGCGTCAAAACGCACAAGCGTCTTGGAACGCACTCACGGCCTGTTCTGTAGAGACACTATAAAGTCACCTCCGTGAACACATACTGCTGTTATATAAAGCCACCTCCGTGAACACATACTACTGTTATATAAAGTCACCTCCGTGAACACATACTGCTGTTATATAAAGTCACCTCCGTGAACACATACTGCTGTTATATAAAGTCACCTCCGTGAACACATACTGCTGTTATATAAAGTCACCGTGAACACATACTGCTGTTATATAAAGTCACCTCCGTGAACACATACTACTGTTATATAAAGTCACCTCCGTGAACACATTCTGCTGTTATATAAAGTCACCTCCGTGAACACATACTGCTGTTATATAAAGTCACCTCCGTGAACACATACTGCTGTTATATAAAGTCACCTCCGTGAACACATACTGCTGTTATATAAAGTCACCTCCGTGAACACATACTGCTGTTATATAAAGTCACCTCCGTGAACACATACTGCTGTTATATAAAGTCACCTCCGTGAACACATACTGCTGTTATATAAAGTCACCTCCGTGAACACATACTGCTGTTATATAAAGTCACCTCCGTGAACACATACTGCTGTTATATAAAGTCACCTCCGTGAACACATACTGCTGTTATATAAAGTCACCTCCGTGAACACATACTGCTGTTATATAAAGTCACCGTGAACACATACTGCTGTTATATAAAGTCACCGTGAACACATACTGCTGTTATATAAAGTCACCTCCGTGAACACATACTGCTGTTATATAAAGTCTCCGTGAACACATACTACTGTTATATAAAGTCACCTCCGTGAACACATACTGCTGTTATATAAAGTCACCTCCGTGAACACATACTGCTGTTATATAAAGTCACCTCCGTGAACACATACTGCTGTTATATAAAGTCACCTCCGTGAACACATACTGCTGTTATATAAAGTCACCGTGAACACATACTGCTGTTATATAAAGTCACAGTGAACACATACTGCTGTTATATAAAGTCACCTCCGTGAACACATACTGCTGTTATATAAAGTCACCTCCGTGAACACATACTGCTGTTATATAAAGTCACCTCCGTGAACACATACTGCTGTTATATAAAGTCACCTCCGTGAACACATACTGCTGTTATATAAAGTCACCTCCGTGAACACATTCTGCTGTTATATAAAGTCACCTCCGTGAACACATACTGCTGTTATATAAAGTCACCTCCGTGAACACATACTACTGTTATATAAAGTCACCTCCGTGAACACATACTGCTGTTATATAAAGTCACCTCCGTGAACACATACTACTGTTATATAAAGTCACCTCCGTGAACACATACTGCTGTTATATAAAGTCACCTCCGTGAACACATACTGCTGTTATATAAAGTCACCTCCGTGAACACATTCTGCTGTTATATAAAGTCACCTCCGTGAACACATACTGCTGTTATATAAAGTCACCGTTGAACACATACTGCTGTTATATAAAGTCACCGTGAACACATACTGCTGTTATATAAAGTCACCTCCGTGAACACATACTGCTGTTATATAAAGCCACCTCCGTGAACACATACTGCTGTTATATAAAGCCACCTCCGTGAACACATACTGCTGTTATATAAAGTCACCTCCGTGAACACATACTGCTGTTACTGCTGTTATATAAAGTCACCTACGTGAACACATACTGCTGTTATATAAAGTCACCTCCGTGAACACATACTGCTGTTATATAAAGTCACCTCGTGAACACATACTGCTGTTATATAAAGTCACCTCCGTGAACACATACTGCTGTTATATAAAGTCACCTCCGTGAACACATACTGCTGTTATATAAAGTCACCTCCGTGAACACATACTGCTGTTATATAAAGTCACCTCCGTGAACACATACTGCTGTTATATAAAGTCACCTCCGTGAACACATACTGCTGTTATATAAAGTCACCTCCGTGAACACATACTGCTGTTATATAAAGTCACCTCCGTGAACACATACTGCTGTTATATAAAGTCACCTGTGAACACATACTGCTGTTATATAAAGTCACCTCCGTGAACACATACTGCAACACTATATAAAGTCATAACACATACTGCTGTTATATAAAGTCACCTCCGTGAACACATACTGCTGTTATATAAAGTCACCTCCGTAACACATACTGCTGTTATATAAAGTCACCTCCGTGAACACATACTGCTGTTATATAAAGTCACCTCCGTGAACACATACTGCTGTTATATAAAGTCACAGTGAACACATACTGCTGTTATATAAAGTCACCTCCGTGAACACATACTGCTGTTATATAAAGCCACCTCCGTGAACACATACTGCTGTTATATAAAGTCACCTCCGTGAACACATACTGCTGTTATATAAAGTCACCTCCGTGAACACATACTGCTGTTATATAAAGTCACCTCCGTGAACACATTTCTGCTGTTATATAAAGTCACCTCCGTGAACACATACTGCTGTTATATAAAGTCACCTCCGTGAACACATACTACTGTTATATAAAGTCACCTCCGTGAACACATACTGCTGTTATATAAAGTCACCTCCGTGAACACATACTACTGTTATATAAAGTCACCTCCGTGAACACATACTGCTGTTATATAAAGTCACCTCCGTGAACACATACTGCTGTTATATAAAGTCACCTCCGTGAACACATACTGCTGTTATATAAAGCCACCTCCGTGAACACATACTGCTGTTATATAAAAGTCACCGTGAACACATACTGCTGTTATATAAAGTCACCGTGAACACATACTGCTGTTATATAAAGTCACCTCCGTGAACACATACTGCTGTTATATAAAGCCACCTCCGTGAACACATACTGCTGTTATATAAAGCCACCTCCGTGAACACATACTGCTGTTATATAAAGTCACCTCCGTGAACACATACTGCTGTTGTATAAAGTCACCTCCGTGAACACATACTGCTGTTATATAAAGTCACTGTGAACACATACTGCTGTTATATAAAGTCACCTCCGTGAACACATACTGCTGTTATATAAAGTCACCTCCGTGAACACATACTGCTGTTATATAAAGCCACCTCCGTGAACACATACTGCTGTTATATAAAGTCACTGTGAACACATACTGCTGTTATATAAAGTCACCTCCGTGAACACATACTGCTGTTATATAAAGTCACCTCCGTGAACACATACTGCTGTTATATAAAGTCTGTGAAGGTCTCTGTTCAAAGACACGCTGCAAAGCTGCATTATTGGAGAAGAACTTTACGCCGCTAGCTTAACTCTGTTAGCATCAGAGCCGGCTACTTCCGGTGCTGGACAGGACGTTCTGGTGTGAAGTCCTAGAGGCCTGCACTGGAGCCCTAGGCCCGGGGGGCCCGACAGCCCGAGGGCCGGGCTTCGGGCCGATGACCGTATAATTACCTCGGACACGGGCCGGGCTCGGGCACGCACTGTTATTTTTCAATTGAATTCATTTCTCTGTTTTTTTTTTTTTGTTTTTTTTTTTTTAGTGCTAATTAAAAGAACCTTTTTTGGTGTGTTTAAATGGAAACACAGTTAACACACAGATGCTCTGTCACACAGGCACCCACGCAACACCCTTCTTTAGGCCTACACTTGTCACTTACACATCCGCGCGAATTCCCAACTCCCACCGCACAAACAACATGGAGAACGACATAAAGAAAAAGATTGAAAATGGCGAATTGGAGAGAGTGGACAACACCAAGGGAAAAGCTCCATTCTGGACTAAGTTTAATCTTATTACAACCATTCAAGATGAGCCAACCGGGTTTGTTCAGTGTGTCGTATGCAAAGCTGTTCTGTCATATGACAGCAAAAAAACAGGTTCATCACATCTCCATAGACATTTTGAACGGTCATGTGGCGGATCCAGCAGCAGCGGTCAGTCCGGTCACAGACAAATGAGTGTGGGCGATTATTTCACAAAACCACCACCAGAAAGGGTGAAGTCAGATGTCACAAAAAAAATTGTGAACTTTTGTTGCATGGACATTCGGCCGTTTGAAACGATTGCTGGAGTCGGTTTCAGAGAGTTAGCACAAGAATTAATAAATGTCGGTGCAACATATGGCCGCATTTCAGCCAAGGAAGTTCTCCCCGACCCCACTACAGTCTCCCGAAGGTGCAAAATTGTGGCGAGTGAAAGGAGAGGAGGGACAGTTGAGGAGATAAAGGGGGTGATGTCACTGATAAATATTGGCATGACAACAGATATGTGGACGGATGATTTTCGTAAGATGAGCTACATGGCGATCACATGTCACTATGTAACACCAACATTTGAACTGAAGAGCAAGCTACTCACCACAACATGCTTCCCAAATCATGCCAAAACAGGAGATAATATCCGAATAGAGCTTCAACAGCAGTTAGTCACAGTCCTCGGCTTTGATGCATCAGTTTTGAACAATGTTGTCTGGGTAACTGACCAGGGTGCAAACGTGGTGGCCGCTCTCCGTCCATACAGGCACCTGGCTTGTCAAGATCACCTGTATAACACAGTCCTCCGACATGCCTTGAACACAGATGAGCTGGCTGAAGTAGTCCCAGAAGTAGCAGAGACCCTGTTGGCTGCGAAGGCTTTAGTCCGCTATCTTAAACAATCTGGTCTGGCCAGTCAGCTGCCAAAAACTGTGAAACAAATGGCAGAGACCAGGTATAGCACAGTCTTCCTCACACTGGAGTCAATCCAGTCAGTCCATGGAGAGCTGCAGGAGCTTCTTCAGAGCCGTGGTGAGAGCATGCGATTGCGCAATGTCTCCCCAGATGTTCTAGCCTTCCTTGTGGAATTTCTGCGCCCATTTAGCGATGCGCAAAAGGAGCTAGAAGGGGACAAATACTCAACACTGCACCTTGTCGTCCTCTGGGCCAACAAGCTGAAAAGCCACTGCCAACCAGACGTGGCTGATACTCCTTCCCAGGCTGTCATTCGCCAACGACACCTTGACTGGTTAATGAAAAAAATCCAAATCCAGCCAGTTCATAAAATTGCCATCTTCCTATGGCCTAAGTTCAACCAACTACGAATGTTTACTCTCGCTGAGAGGAGCGACATCCAGCAACAGGTCAGACCAAGGGCGTAGGTTTGCGTGGGGACCATGGGGACATGTCCCCACCAATATTTGGTGAGGACTAAAAGTCCCCACCAAAATGACATGTGTCCCGTGACCCGGACGGTCCGGGACACATGTGTTCCGTTTGTGCACACGTCGCGCCTCCTCCTCGCCTCCAGAGCAACAGCAGCAGCAGCAGCACGTGACCCGTTCCGTTCTCTGCAGTGATTGGCTGTCTTCTTCAGCGCCAAACTGAAGCACTGAGCGACTGTTTAATTTTTAAAAGTTAGCCAGCGTGAAGCAAGTGTTTTTTTTCGTTCCCTGAGCGTTGTAGCACGTGAGTAATCAGAGGAAAGTACTGTAGATCTATTACCATTCAAAGTACTTACGTTATTTCTAATCTGTCAGCGCACTGTTTAATGTTCCGAGGAGCTCACACGGCACAGAGACAGAACAGAACTGGCTCCAATAAAGAAACAGGTTGGTTGAAAGGCTGAGAAAATACTTATTGTGCTCTTACTATCCAAAATGTATGAGTGGGTGTGTTGTGTGAATCAGGATAAACTAGGGATGAAAATATTCCACGGATCCACGATGTACAACCTTTATCTGCTGATAATGTAATTTCTGTGAAATGTGTGACAGCGGGCACTTGCTGTTATTTGCTCTAAGCACATTCAAGCGATGCACTCGAATGTGCACGTCCTGGTGCAGCTGCTGCCACTTTGTAATGACAGTCGCGGCGCTCAGTGAAAGCACAGCTCTAACATGGTACCGAGCTCGGACCATATGCAGACAGAACCATGTTGCAAGTGCGGGTCTCCCTCGTATCTCCCCCGTTTCTCCCCTGTGTCTCTGACATGTCTCTCCCCTGACTCTTCCCAAAGCGCAACCAGCGCTCCCGAAATTAAAGCTCGGATACCTAAATTTTCCATTGCGTTAACGACGCATGCTGGTTGTGCGCAAAACACACCACAACAGGTCATTTAAGTTTTTATTTTGCATACTTGAGAGCCCTGTGAGTCATTACTTGCCTTTTTGGGTTGAGAGTGGAATAAAAAAAAGAAAATATAGAAAAATCCACACTGTTACTTATTGCCAAACTCTTGTTAACTCATTGTATTGAGAAATACTATGTAACTTTTGACATTGGCCAAGTTATATAAATGATTCTGCAGTTCATGTATATGAATGTCTGTTTTTGATTGTCTATACCTTCTTATATAATTTAGAAAAAATGCCACCTCCACAAATAAGATAAAAGATATCAGGAGCTTTTTTAACAGTTGGAAAGTAAGTAAGAGAAAGCACAAGTAATAGCAAATTATGAATTGTGATGATTAATCTTCTGTTAACATACATAACTGCTTCTCATTCAGTCTACAGCTGAGTTTAGTATAGAAGGCAACACACTATTGCAAATATAGTGTGTGATTACACAACAAATTCTGGGGGAGAAACTCTGGACCCCGTGTCAATGGGTGTAGACTCAGGTCGTAGTGAATGTCCCCACCAAGATTGGAACCAAACCTACACCATTGGGTCAGAATCCAGATAAACCGCTTCAGGAAGGGAGAGGATGCACGTCGGCAGGAGCAGTCTACACAATCAGGTATTTGTGTTTTATTAGCCTATAATTGACAGTTACATTACATTTATAAATAGTTATGATTTACGCAGGGTCAGGTGCAGTGGCAGCTGCTGGTCCCGCACCAAAGAGGAGAGCACTGGCGGAGTTTGAGGACGCGTGGGAAAATGTCAGAGTGGACAACGAAGATACTGATGAAATCCAGGTCTACCTCAGCCTCAACCCCGCCATGGAAGCTGATGGAAGGGATCTGCTGAGCTGGTGGAAGCAACACGAGACCACATTGCCGTTACTGGCACGTCTGGCCCGCGTGGTCTTCAGTGTCCCGGCCAGCAGCAGCAGCAGCGAGCGTGCTTTTAGCGCAGCTGGAAGAGTCATAGAGGAAAGGAGGACTGGACTTGCCCCTGAAACGGTGGATGCAGTCCTTTTTCTGCACGATGCCAAATAGACTGTTCCTTTTGTGATGTTCAAACAACGGAGGACATTTGCCATGTTAAGCGGCTCTGTATCGCCATTTTCAGGTGAAGATTTGTTATAGGCCTACGCCGCCCATGCAATTAGCTGTTGTCTTTATTTAGAAAAAAAATATTGATTCAATTTTGCTGCGTTCAGCCTACTAATAAACACTTTTATAAGGTTTAAGCGTTTTGTTGTTTTTAGCCTACCTTATGTTTGGATTTGCTGTCCGCTCATTAACAAAAAACTAAATAATAATTGAAACAATTCCACTACTAGTTCTCAAGCTGCTGATTGAAACATGAGCCCATATTTTAACATGCTCTTTTTGTCCACTTTGATCTGTCAGAAACGTTTGTTTATTCATAGAAAAAATAGAAAGCTGTTTTTTGTAACTGCAGAGCGGCAGATTACATTTACAAACGCACCCGATGAATATGCGTTCTGTCACGCTAACACATTGTTATTAGAGGTTAAAGAAAAAATGAAGGTCGGGCTTGATACGGGTTCGGGCTTGAGAATTCAGAAACCATGTCGGGCCAGGGCCGGGCTGGGGCGCCACCCCCTCGGGCCAGGGCCGGGCTTGGGCCCAGATAATAGGCCCGTGCAGGGCGCTATGAAGTCCTCTGCGTCTGAAAACTAGAGAATGCGCGTCTGGTGAGCGAGGCTTCAGCGTTTGAGCGTTTGCGGTCTGAACGCGGCATGAGAGAGACCAAAGTGAGTGAGACCAGAGAGAGAGACCAGAGAGAGAGACCAGAATGAGAGAGACCAGAGCGAGAGAGACCAGAGAGAGAGAGACCAGAGAGAGAGAGACCAGAGTAAGAGAGACCAGAGAGAGAGAGACCAGAGTGAGAGAGACCAGAGCGAGAGAGACCAGAATGAGAGAGACCAGAATGAGAGAGACCAGAGCGAGAGAGACCAGAGAGAGAGAGACCAGAGAGAGAGAGACCAGAGAGAGAGAGACCAGAGAGAGAGAGACCAGAGAGAGAGACCAGAGAGAGAGACCAGAGAGAGAGACCAGAGCGAGAGACCAGAATGAGAGCCCAGAGTGACACAAAAGAGACTTGACAAACAAACGTCCAGTCCACAGACTGTAGTCCTGGTCCCCAGGTCTCAGGTCTCGTCCTGGTCCTCAGGTCTCGTCCTGGTCCCCAGGTCTCAGGTCTCGTCCTGGTCCTGTACCTCACGGTCTCCTCGTGAAACTCGTTCTCGGTGCAGACGAAGGCGACACTGATGTCGTTTCTGTTCAAAGCCTCAGACACAGAGATCTGTGGCACTGCCCCCTGCTGGGCGCCCAGGGACCTCCTGCAAGACCAGAGGCAAGACCATCAGAGACCAGACCAGGGGAGACTATACCATCAGAGACAGAGACCACAGAGACCACAGAGAGACAGAGACCACACAGAGACCACAGAGAGACAGAGACCACAGAGAGACAGAGACCACACAGACAGAGACCACAGAGACAGAGACCACAGAGACAGAGACCACAGAGACAGAGACCACAGAGACAGAGACCACAGAGACAGAGACCACAGAGACTACAGAGACAGAGACCACAGAGACAGAGACCACAGAGACAGAGACCACAGAGACCACAGAGACAGAGACCACACAGAGACAGAGACCACAGAGACAGAGACCTGCTGACAGTTAAACTTCACCTGGACACGAATCCTTTGACGCTGAGTTGTTCTGCGGCGCTCCCGGTTAAAGGAGCCAACATGTCTCTGATCCGGACTGAACCGGCCATGCCCAGACCCACCACCACGGCCCCCAGCATCACGGGGACCAGACTGGGACTAGCCTGGGGACTGAGTCAGACAGAGACCAGACTGGGACTAGCCTGGGTACTAGAGAGAGTAGCCTGAATACTTCCAGAGGTCAGAGACAGAAGAGCACAGGAGCCTGGACACCAACGTGAGGCCTGCAGACAGAGGAAACAGAAACATGTTTAAGACTGATGTGGAGTCGTCTGCAAACTAGAATAACACATTTGGACTTATTCCACGATAGAGACTGTGCAGAAGTGTCTCACAAACGTGACTGAGCAAGATTTACTTTGACATGGAAGTCACCAGCAGCCAAACTTCACCATGAGCACTTCCCTGTTGAGTTAGCAGGAAGCAGGTGTCACAGATAAGGACAGATCTGAGCCTCATCCAGAGCTCTCCGGAAACACCCACTCGGGTTTAGTGTCCGTTTGTCACCGTCAGTTAATAATCATAATAATCATAATAATCATAATAATAATCATAATATGTCCCGCTGCGTCCGACACTTTTGTATTTCAATAACATTAAAGACACAGAGTGTCGTCGCTGCATCGATTCTCTTTAGTTTCCCTGAGTCACCACAAACATGACCTGTAACAGATAAGTGGGTCAGGGTCTAGGCCTGGGTCTTATCTGCGGCTGCAAGAGTCTGAGGGACATGGTCTACACTGACACTGCACAGTCTAAACACACTCAGAGCATGGCTCAGTGTTAATGGAAATATAATTATATCAGCTTTAATGATTAAATTACATTTGTGAAAGTTTAACGTGATTCACAAAAGAAAAGAGAAACAAAAGAGGAAGTTTTACTGTTGAGTAACGAGTCCTGAACAATGTCAGGAAGAGACAGGGTCAGAGGTCAGGGGTCAGCGGCAGATGTTTTCAACCGTTATAATAATGACTTGTTTTGTGGATTATATTTATGTTTAACTTCTGAATGCATGGATTAAGAATCACGTCTTTTCCTTCTCTTTCTTTTACCTTTTTCTGGCCTGGCTGAGCCTCATGCAGGTCCATGTCAGAAGTATGAGATGTCAGTGAGTGAGAAAGAGTCAAAGAAAGATATAAAGGAAATAGAAAACAATAGTCGGCCCTAAAACTGAGAAAAAGTCCTTTAATCTACATTTCAGCAACTCAGAAGTCACAGTGAGTCAGGATTTTAAAAACGCTGAGAAATGTCAACTAAAGATTTCCTGGTTTTTCAAGATTCTTTTAAAGATGACAAAATATTGAGTTTTACAAATCAGAATATTGAACGAACGAATGTGTTTCAGTATAAATGTCGTCTTCCCATGTTTCCTCCAGATGTTGTTTCCTAATGTCATACATGAACTCATCAGAAATCATACATAATCACTGAACACATGACGCTCATGTTAAAACTACTGTCTGTGGATAGATCCCACATCAATAACTCATGATGAACTCATGATGAACTCATGATGAACTCATGATGAACTCATGATGAACACATGATGAACACATGATGAACACATGATGAACACATGGTGAACACATGATGAACTCATGATCAACTCATGATGAACACATATAAAAACATGACAAACACATGATGAACTCATGATGAACACATATAAAAACATGACAAACACATGATGGACACATATAAAAACATGACAAACACATGACAAACACATATAAAAACATGATGAACACATGATGGACACATATAAAAACATGATGAACACATATAAAAACATGACAAACACATGATAAACACATATAAAAACATGACAAACACATGATGGACACATATAAAAACATGATGAACACATGATGGACACATATAAAAACATGACAAACACATGATGAACACATATAAAAACATGATGAACACATGATGGACACATATAAAAACATGATGAACACATATAAAAACATGACAAACACATGATGAACACATATAAAAACATGACAAACACATGATGGACACATATAAAAACATGACAAAGACATGATGAACACATATAAAAACATGATGAACACATGATGGACACATATAAAAACATGATGAACACATATAAAAACATGACAAACACATGATAAACACATAAAAACATGACAAACACATGATGAACACATATAAAAACATGACAAACACATGATGAACACATATAAAAACATGACAAACACATGATGAACACATATAAAAACATGATGAACACATGATGGACACATATAAAAACATGATGAACACATGATGAACACATATAAAAACATGACAAACACATGATGGACACATATAAAAACATGACAAACACATGATGGACACATATAAAAACATGACAAACACATGATGAACACATATAAAAACATGACAAACACATGATGGACACATATAAAAACATGACAAACACATGATGAACACATATAAAAACATGATGAACACATGATGAACACATATAAAAACATGATGAACACATGATGAACACATATAAAAACATGATGAACACATGATGGACACATATAAAAACATGACAAACACATGATGGAAACATATTAAAAACATGACAAACACATGATGGACAAAATAAATAACATGATCAAAACATGATGAACATCATAATATAAAACTATGAACACATGTTGGACACATATTAAAATACATGATGAATTCTAAATGATGGCAAACATAGTTAATTCATGTACAAATCACATGTTGAACACTATCAAAACATGACACAACATGATGATACAATTTTAAAAACATGATCAAGACACATGATGGCACTCATATAAAACATGTACAAACACATGATGTACAACAATATATCAATTGAGGAAATACACTTGAGGGGCTCATATTTTTATTATTACTGTAACACATGACTGACGGCATCCGGAACCTTACAATCTCATGGATGGTACCCACATGTTAAAAACTTTACAATACTCGAGATGAACACATTTATTAGAAATGTACGAACATCAATTGTGGTACACATATAAAAACATGAACAAACACAACTGATGAAACGACTTATATTTAACATGACGAACTCATGAGTTGGATCACATATTAAACACATGACAAACTCTTTGTAGTAAACACTTATATAATACCTTGACTAACACATTATGACACGTATGAACCACAGATAAACTCATGTCATAACACAAATGATGGACCCATATAAAAACATGACAGAACTCATGAATGGCTCAAATAAACACATATAAACACATGACAAACACTTGATGTACTCATTTTATAACTTGTCGTAGTCTCATTATGTTGGAACACTTCGTTTTTTCATTGCATTACTCATGAGGCTACACATATGTTTTTTTTACATGGTATGAACCATGGCTATGTTACACAGAGATCCAACTTGTCATATCTATCGTTTTTATCACATATTTTTACTTGCAGACATCATGAGGAAACACAGTTTTAATACTTATTGTTTCATATTGTATTTCATATTGTTGATTACACATTATTAACATTGACGAACTCATGGATGAAATCACTATTTATATCATATTGAAACATTGATGAATCATCCTGATGGTACATCATATTATAACAATCATGACAATAAACAACATGATGGACACTAATATAACCACATGTACATAACACAATTGAAATGTAACACATAGAAAAAACTAGACTGAACTCATTAAGTTGGAATCCCATATACTACCATCATGACAAACACATTAATGAACACATATAAAACACTAAGACAAACACATGTAAAGTAACCCATATAAAAACATGGACAAACACACTGATGAACACATATAAAAACATGACGAACACATGATGAACACATAAAACACATGACAAACACATGATGGACACATATAAACACATGACAAACACATGATGAACACATATAAAAACATGACAATCACATATAACACTGAAATAAAACATATAAAAACATGCAAAACACAGATGAACACATATAAACTTACAACAAATGATGAACAATATAAACACTACAACCCTTGATGAACACAATATAACAACACTGATGCAACACATAAAGGACCACAACGAAATGGAAACATTACAAACAAATGACAAACACAATGATTTTAAACTACTGATCAAAACACTATAAAAACATATGAACATGACCACATATAAACACATGACAAACACATATGAACACATATAAAAACATGGATGCAACACATTATTGAACACATATGAAAACATATCATAACACTATGATGAACACAAGATACAACATGACAAACACATATGAACAAATATAAAACATGACATAACACATGATCGAATCACATTAAAAACTGTCAACCTAAATGAATGAACACATAGTAAACAACAGACAACACAAAGTGAAATATAAAAACATGAAAAAACATGATAACACATATAAATCAGGACAAACACATGATGAAACCATATAAACACATGATGAACCACATATAAAAACATGACCAACACATGAATGAACACATATAATAATCACATGACCAATCAGCATGAGAACACATATAAAAAAACATGAAAACACATGATGAACACATATAAAAACATGACAAACACATGATGAACACATATAAAACATGACAAACACATGATGTAACGACATAATAAAACCAAGTGTCGCACATCCATGAATGGAACCTCATAGAAAATAACATGCATTCACCTTGTTGTTATCACATTAAATAACAATGATTTCACACAATGTTGAACATCATATAATTTCTTGTCCTAATACATGTTGTACGCCCCCGTTATAATTGACCACCACTCTGGATCGTTACCCATTTTCATTACGGACCTTAAGCTCTAAAGGCCGGTATAATTTTTAGATACATTGACGCTACGCCATTTGTTAACGACATATAAAAACTATAGCATCACCCTTGATAACCCATAAACATGCTTCGCTAGTACGATTTTTTACATCGTCTGAATGAACTCTGTTGTTCACATAGATTTACCACATGTAAACATTACTAATGATGATACACACATGAACACATGATGAACACATGATGGACACATGACAAACACATGATGAACACATATAAAAACATGATGAACACATGATGGACACATATAAAAACATGACACACATGATGAACTCATGATGAACTCATGATGAACACATATAAAAAACATGATGAACACATGATGAACACATATAAACACATGACAAACACATGATGAACACATGATGATGGAACAATGACAAACACATGATGAATGACAAACACATGATGACATATAAAAACATGACAAACACATGATGAACACATATAAAAACATGACAAACACATGATGAACACATGATGGACACATATAAAAACATGATGACATGAACACATATATAAAAACATGACAAACACATGATGAACACATATAAAAACATGACAAACACATGATGAACACATATAAAAACATGACAAACACATGATGAACACATATAAAAACATGACAAACACATGATGAACACATATAAAAACATGATGAACACATGATGAACACATATAAAAACATGACAAACACATGATGAACACATATAAAAACATGACAAACACATGATGAACACATATAAACACATGACAAACACATGATGAACACATGTACCCACGTCACCGCTGTTTCTGTGGTGGAAGTGGAGAACCGTGCAGCGGGCCGTGCGTGCCTCTCTGCCCGGTACGAAGGCCCTGGAGCGGGGTGAGTGCAGAGGCTGGTACCCTCTGGAGTGTTTGAGTGACTTCCACAAAGAGTCGATCGCAGCAGAGGAAAAAAGAAAAAGTGGTTAAGCAACTGTCCCCGCTGCGGCCCCGCCCACTCCCCACGTGACTCTTATATAGTTTATATTTTTAACACTGTCATAAAAACACTTCTTACTCTTTCATGACGCACGCAGCTCCTTCGACTCGCTTCACCTGTAACGTTTTAACAGAATAAATAAGCCTTGTTTTTGGAGACGTCGCGTGTTTATGACGTCGCATGTATGCGGAAGTTCGCCGAAGATCCAGTTGTAAACATTGTCGCATGTGTAAAATACCGATATTAAAAGATTAAATATATAATAAAATATACACATCAGACTCACAGATTTTCAGTAGCATTGTTTTAATTAATGTCTTGTTTTTTAGTTTTGTATTTTTAATGTTTCGGGTTCGGGTGTTGCTGCTTAACAGTAGAACTACCAGAAGTATGAATGAAATGATAAATCCGTGGCGAAAACAGCATCACAGGCGGATCCTGAGAAGTGTCACTTTGAAAGAGAAAAGAGCGCGAGGAATAAAAGACAGTTCATGTTTCTTGCTCTTGTTTGATAACAGTGTTGTTTCAGACCGTGTCCAGCAGAGGGCGCCGCTGTCATGAAGGCAGACAGCTGTGTAACATGTGGACACTCTTCTTCAGCTCAGTTTCACTTTTATAACATCAGGGATAATAACAACAATGGTTACCCTCCCTCATCTGTGGTCATGGGGGAGCAGCATCTGCAGTCAGAGCTCTAGTGCCCTCTGGTCTTGATCTTTGGCTAATGACCGAAAGGATGAAACAAAAGCTCCACAGAGTGTGTGACAGTGGAGAACCATCCTACCGAGTCCTACCGAGTCCTGCCGGGTCCTGCCGAGTCCTGCCGGGTCCTGCCGGGTCCTGCCGAGTCCTGCCGGGTCCTGCCGGGTCCTGCCGAGTCCTGCCGCGTCCTGCCGAGTCCTGCCGAGTCCTGCCGAGTCCTGCCGAGTCCTGCCGAGTCCTGCCGGGTCCTGCCGAGTCCTGCCGGGTCCTGCCGAGTCCTGCCGAGTCCTGCTGAGTCCTGAGTCCTGCTGAGTCCTGAGTCCTGCTGAGTCCTGAGTCCTGCTGAGTCCTGCTGAGTCCTGCTGAGTCCTGAGTCCTGCTGAGTCCTGAGTCCTGCTGAGTACTGCTGAGTCCTGAGTCCTGCTGAGTCCTGAGTCCTGCTGAGTCCTGCTGAGTCCTGAATCCTGCTGAGTCCTGAGTCCTGCTGAGTCCTGCTGAGTCCTGAGTCCTGCTGAGTCCTGCTGAGTCCTGAGTCCTGCTGAGTCCTGAATCCTGCTGAGTCCTGCTGAGTCCTGAGTCCTGCTGAGTCCTGAATCCTGCTGAGTCCTGCTGAATAATCCTCACCGTTTCTGTAGAAATGATTTATTTTAAACTTGTACATTTTGGACAGTTCACAACAGACTCCATGTGTATGATTCTGAGGCTGTAGCCGTTTTCAGAGTCTGGTGTGTGGTGTGAATGGTTGGTGGTGGTGGGAGGGGCCGATGGCACAGACTGGTTGCCTCGCTTCGGTCAGTGTGCCCCAGGGCAGCTGTGGCTACAGTAGAAGTTTGTAAGGAGTGAATGAGTAAGCGTCTTTGAGCGTCATGAAAAGTGCTAATAAAACAAATGCATTATTATATTATCATTATCCACCCACTTTCTTGCACTTTATCTGTTGCCGAGTGGCGGGGGCAGCAGTCTGAGCAGACACTTCCTGTTCCATGTGTGGGTCTCCTCCTGCGGGACATGCCCAGAGCACCTCCTCAGGGAGGAGACCAGGAGGCATCAAAAACATGAGCCACCTCCACTGGAAGGAGCAGCAGCTCTACTCCGAGCTCCTCCCTCGATGTCTAAGAGAGCTCCCAGGTCCTTGATTTGTTCACAAGATGAGACTTTCTGTTTTTTCTGAGACGGACCAGAATATGTGAGATATGAGAGAGAGCACAGAGGAACAAGAGAGAGCACAGAGGAACAAGAGAGAGCACAGAGGAACAAGAGAGAGCACAGAGGAACAAGAGAGAGCACAGAGGAGAGAGAGCACAGAGGAACAAGAGAGAGCACAGAGGAGAGAGAGCACAGAGCAGAGAGGAGAGAGCACAGAGCACAGAGCAGAGAGGAGCAAGAGAGAGCAGAGAGGAGAGAGAGCACAGAGCAGAGAGGAGAGAGCACAGAGCACAGAGCAGAGAGGAGCAAGAGAGAGCAGAGAGGAGAGAGAGCACAGAGCAGAGAGGAGCGCCGCAGCCTGACGGGCAGCTGCAGGACCCAATGAGGTCCTTCCCCTCCTCTCTGTGGCGTCACTTGTGTTTGTACATCCATGTTTCCAGCGCACAGTTGTAGCTGCAGAGGCTAAACTACAGACTCAGAGTTTCCAAGCACCATGACGTCCAGCAGCAGCGCGGGCCGCCTGGACGTGTTGGTGGGGGAGCGGCTGGCGCAGGCCGCGCATGAGATCCTCCTCCTGTTTGACGCTGCGGTTCTGGAATATAAGACCGAGATCCTCCGTTTGGGAAAGGAGACCGAGCGTCAGCAGCGGCTCCTGAACGCGTACAACCCCCGAGTGATGCTGGAGCCCGCGCGCCTCGGCCTGGAGCCCCCCGGACCCCCCACCGGACTCCCACCTGGATCCCCCACCGGACCCCCACCCGGACCCCCCACCGCGTCAGCCTCAGCCTCGGCCTCAGTCTCGGCCTCAGTCTCGGTCTCAGCCTCGGGCCCGGGGAGCGTGCGTGTGAAGGAGGAGACCGTGGACGTGGTGCACATCAAAGAGGAGATAGATGCAGTGCGGATCCACGAGCACGCGCTGGACTTCCCATTGTCCATGTTCGAGAACGAGCCTCTGGATCCAGGGCTGTTTGTGCAGGGGGCGAGCACGGAGGACAAAGGGGGAGTGGAGGAGGCAGGTACGAGCACAGGAACAATAGTCTCTATCAGGGATCAGACTGACACGCGCACACGCACTCCTCTCAGTCCTCAGAGTCCACACCAGACACATGTCACGGATCGGAACCAAAACTTGCCTTCCAGTCCTTGTTAGAGGTTGTGCGAAGCCATATTTGGTCAAATAAACATGTTTTCTCTATGATCACATCGTGCTCAAAGATGCAGGTCTTGCAAGGCAGCCCAGGAAATTCACAGGAACTGAAACTTTACCGTCAGAGAAGCGCCCACAGATGTTAAACATGTTAAACATGTTAAACATGTTAAACATGTTAAACATGTTTAACATGTATACACTACTTGGAACTGGGGGATGGAGACTTCTGCGTGTGTGCCTGTAGTGTGTGTGTGTGTGTGTAGTAAGTGTGTGTGTGTGTGTAGTAAGTGTGTGTGTGAGTGTGTAATAAGTGTGTGTGTGTAGTGTGTGTGTGTGCCTGTAGTAAGTGTGTGTGTGTGTGTGTGTAGTAAGTGTGTGTGTGAGTGTGTAATAAGTGTGTGTGTGTAGTAAGTGTGTGTGTGTGTGTAGTAAGTGTGTGTGTGAGTGTGTGTGTGTAATAAGTGTGTGTGTGTAGTAAGTGTGTGTGTGTGCCTGTAGTAAGTGTGTGTGTGTGTGTGTAGTAAGTGTGTGTGTGTAATAAGTGTGTGTGTGTGCCTGTAGTAAGTGTGTGTGTGTGTGTGTAGTAAGTGTGTGTGTGTAATAAGTGTGTGTGTGTGCCTGTAGTAAGTGTGTGTGTAGTAAGTGTGTGTGTTAATATGATGTATTCTTCTTTCTAACCCAGGTCTGGAGTCTCCTGTACAGTTTGAAGACATGATCAATGACTTTACTCCGACTTCAAGCAAGAAACGGCAGAAAAAAGTATCGAACCAGATCCAGAACCAGATCCAGAACCAGATCCAGATCCAGAACCAGATCCAGAACCAGTCTCGGCTCAGCCCCCTCCCGTTCAGCGCCGCGTCTCTGAGCGACCCCAAACTGGAGACGTGTGAATGTGGGAAAGTGTTTGTCAACAAAGCAGATCTGTTCCGCCACGTTCAGACGCACGTGAAGGACCGACCTTACGGCTGCTCCGTCTGTGGGAAGGGCTTCACGGTGAAGAAGAACATGGAGGTGCACATGCGCATCCACACGGGAGAGAAGCTGTACGCCTGCACCGTCTGCGACAAACGCTTCATCCAGGCCTCCACGCTCAACTCGCACATGCGCACGCACTCGCAGGACCGCGCCTTCAGCCGCGCAGGTGGCAGCCGGCCCCGCGACCCCACCGCCGCCAAACCCTTCAAGTGTCCCGTGTGTCAGAAGGGCTTCAAGCTGAAGCCGTATCTACAGGCCCACATCCTGGTGCATGTGGCCGACAGACCTTTCAGCTGCTCAGAGTGCCCCAAGACCTTCAGAAGGAAGGTGTACCTGAAGAACCACATGGCCATCCACAGCAAACAGAAGACTCTGAACTGTAAAGAGTGCAACACGGCCTTCCCCGACCTGCAGACGCTGCTCCGGCACAAGCGCGTGGCTCACGTGGCCGAGAAACCTTTCGGCTGTTCCAAGTGCAACCGCAAGTTCAAGGACGAGGCCACGCGGCAGCAGCACATGGCGGTCCACACGGGGGACAAGCCGTTCAGGTGCACGGTCTGCTACACCGGCTTCACGCTCAAGTCCAACCTCTGCACCCACATGAAGAAGCACAAGAAGCACAAGGACGTCACCTCCTTCTACTGCTCCCTCTGCAGCATCCACTTCCTGTCCAAAGCCAACTTTGTCAACCACAAGGCGACCGTGTGTCCCGAGAGCTCCAGCATCGACCTGACCTGAGTCCCTGACCTGAGTCCCTGACGCCTCCTGCGTCTGTCTCCGAGGGCTCCAGGACTAAAGCCCTCTGATTGTTTCAAACTCAGAAACCAATGAGTGCTTTGTTAAAGCCTTCAGACATTTCCTTAAACTGTAGAAAAGTGTGAACCAGAGACAGATTTTCGCTGCAGTCGTTCCTTTAGCTCCCAGTGCTAACGTGTTCTACTACAAACACACTTACAAAGGAGCTAGACACCTGCTGAGTAACTGACACCTGCTGAGTAACTGACACCTGCTGAGTAACTGACACCTGCTGAGTAACTGACACCTGCTGAGTAACTGACACCTGCTGAGTAACTGACACCTGCTGAGTAACTGACACCTGCTGAGTAACTGACACCTGCTGAGTAACTGACACCTGCTGAGTAACTGTCTCAAACTGCTCCAAAGTCAGATCAGTCTCAGATCAGTCCAGTGTCGGCTTCTTTCTAAGGGTCAAACATAATGTCAGGTGTGAGAGGAAGATCCTAAAAACATGAAGTAAAACATGTCTGGGCTGGAGACCCGGGTTTAGACCCGGGTTTAGACCCCGCCCTGAGGCAGAGACTAGTCATGGATTAATGCAGTTTAACAGGAAACACTGATGTGGAACTGACTTCAGCTTCATCTGTCAAACATGTCTGTTTTAGAAACACGAAAGGACTCAGACAGACCTGGACTCCGGTCTAGACCCAGACTCCGGTCTTGAAGCAAAAGACTTGGTCCCAGCTCTGAGATTCTAAAGGCACATTTGTAAAGGCCTCAGGTTAGCAGCAGTAGGCGCTAACGCTAACGGCGAATACAGGAGAAACATGGAAACATCTTTTGCATTTGTGGTCATTCCAGAGTTTGTTTTCCACATGTTTCCACGGTAACTCGCGTCTTCCGTCATCAAGTATCTGATGGAGAAAAACCAAAATAATCAAAACACTTAACGTTATGAACAAATGACTTTTATTGAATGTTTCTTAGTTTATTCTCTGAACAAAATAAATGCAGTTGGATTGTTCCAGAACCAAAGGCTCGGACTCATTTACAGCAGGATGTAAAACTTATGGATCAGTTCAAAGGTTATGGCAAAGTCGGACATCTTGGTTTAATGCACTCACGTCTGAACCCACAGAAGCTAAAATGCTACGTTACCTAATACCGTGATCACTTTAAATGTGGTTAAAATGAGCTATAACAGGCCATGGCTGCGCGATGGGAGGGTTAGGGCCGGAAGTTTCCTCAAGAATAAAGTCACGGTTTTATGTCACATCACTGAGAGACCTGTGTGTGGAGCCAGGTCTCTGTACACAAAGTGCCCTGGAGCTCGTGGACACACACCTCACCGTCTTGACTCTGCCAGAGCCGCCATTTTGACTGCTCTTGTTCAAACCAATGGAATTCATTAAAATCATTTTTAATGATTTTTTCATTTAAAAACAAAAAATCTAATCTAAAATGGCTCATTCTAACTGCAATACAGCTATAATGAAAGCTAATGCTAATGCTAATGCTAACTTTGGACAGTAAACAGTGTTGCTGAAATCTAATGGACACAAAAAATACATTCAATAAAAACGCGTGACCTGTCCTCAGTCATTTAACGCTGGATTCTCTCTGGAGGAAAATTAGTTTAAGGAAGTACCATGAACAGTTAAAAAGTAAAAAATTATTTCCTTAAAAAATGACAGAAATAAACGACGTAAAGAAACAGACAAAATCACAAAGTTATGACGACCACAAACGTGCGAGAGAAGAGGACTTCCACATTTATAATCCATCGAATGAACTGCAGCTGTTCTATCTCTGAGCAGAAAACACTTCCACCTTAAATCACAGCAGCTCTGTACTGTCTGTTGCACTGGGGGAGTCTTGCACAGTTTTTCCAAAGTGGTTTTACTGCAGTAAAGTAAGTTTTAGGGCAACAGTAGCTCAGTTGTAGAGCATTGGCCTTTGGGCCTGAAGGTCGTGGGTTCGAACCCACCGTAAGACCTACTTCACGACTCCCACTGATGACTGCTGCCGTTGTGTCCTTGGGCAAGACACTTAACCCCACTTTGCCTGAAGCCCCCACTGAAAGATCTCGGCTCCTGTGGACTCAGCTCCTGCAGGAGGATCAGTGAGAGGCTGGTGCTCTGACTGCCACCCCCCGACCCAGAAATGGATTAAGGGGAAGAAGATGGATGGGTTTTACTGCACATGCCAAAGAACCTCTTGTATCTTTGCGGTGAGTTCTGTGGCTGCGTGAACACGACTCTGACAGAACCGCTCACATCCTGGGCCTAAAACACAGACTCAGAGGCGTCCCGTGCCAACAGGCAAGGCAGGCAGCTGCCTGGGGCCCCCAAACCGGCAGGGGCCCCCGAGGGACGACTGATTTGACACAAGCGGTCGACTTGTACAGGCCACAACAGGTACCTGCAGTGACGAGTTGCAATTTGACCGCCCGTCTCAAATCCCCTGATAGGGCCCCGCTCCTCTCGCCCCTCGCCCACATGTGTCAGTGACAGAGGTGAGCGGAGCGTGCAGGCAGCGTGCTATTTCTCCCAAAGCAAAACAAAGTTGTCCGACCAAATGAAGAGAAGTTATCCTTCTGGAAGCGATAAACGAAAGCGCAAAAAAGAGGAAGACGAGAAAAGAAAGCATGATAGCGGTGAGTGACTGACATCTAGTCTACATGACGCTCTTGGAACTAACTTGTTTGTTTGCGGATCACATCACAGCAACATTTAGCATGCTATTGTTAGCGTTTTGAAGGATTAATACACTTTGATAGCAGGTAGTGTTTTTAATTAATTATAACATGATGAGTGTAGTGAACAAGTTTATAAAAAGACATGCTAATTTATTAGGCCCGAGCCCCGAACGGGGTAAGGGCCTATTGCTTTCACAATGGTGAAAACAAATGGTGGCGGTGCGTGACGGACGCGTCAGCGCCCGTCACTCACCAAAACGTGACGGTTGCGTGCGTAAACTCAAAAGCTTTAAAATGATGTATCACGTGCCATTGAAACCTATATTGTTTTTGCTCGAGACGTCGAAAAAAAAATTCCTTTTTTATTTCTTTCTTTCTTTCTTTCTTTCTTTCTTTCTTTTTTCTTCTGCACTTTGAGCCTTAATTTGACCCCCTGAACATGCATGAAAAGTTGTTAAATTTTGCCCAAAAATCAGACCTGGCGAAAAATTTGATATTTTGGTGTTTATTTTTATGGGACTCAAAAAATGCCGGAACAGCGCCACCTACAACAGCCAAAATAATACCCCTATGAGACTTTTAGAGATCAAGTTTGTCGTAGAGCCATGAAATTTGGTACACATGTTCCTATAGTCAAGACAAGAAAAAAATATTATTATGGCTCCACCCCCTGACAAACAGGAAGCCCATGAATTTCACTGCAAAATGGAAAAATGAACAGCAAAAGTTTTCATACATGTCGGTTGGAAAGCGACTCCTCCTCGGCCGTTTCACCGATTCGCCTCAAAATCGCTCCACATTATCTCAACACATGTACCATCAAAATGACTTCAGGGAATTTTGATCAGTGAAACGTTGTTTGAGCAGCGGAGCGCCAAAAAGTGGCGTAATTTTTTTCCGTTTTTGACAATAGAAAAATTGTTTCCGTTTGCACAAACAAAGTCTGATTTGCACAAAACTTGAATCCATGGTTCAACTCTTGGGTCTAGGTCATTTGAAAGTAAAAAAATTGAAATTGGCTCTATAGCGCCACCTACAACAGCCAATTTAAAAATGCCTATGGGAGGGGTTTGAGGTCAAAATTGTCGTAGAGCCATGTAATTTGGTACACATATTCCTCAAGTCAAGACATGGAAAAAATGTTATTATGGCTAAGCCCTCTGACAAACAGGAAGCCCATAAATGTCATTGCAAAATGGAAAAATGAAAACCAATCATTTTCATACATGTCGGTTGGAAAGCGACTCCTCCTCGACCGTTTCACCGATTGGCCTCAAAATTGCTCCAAATTATCTCAACACATTTATCTTCAAAATGACCTCAGGGAATTGTGATCAGTGAAACGTTGTTTGAGCAGCGGAGCGGCAAAATGGAAAGTTTTTTTCTGCCGTTTTTGACAACATTAATTTTTTTCCCGCTTGCACATACAAAGTCTGATTTGCATCAAACTTGAACCCATTGTTCAACTCCAGGGTTTAGGTCAGGTGAAAGTGAAATATTTTAAATTGGCCCATTAGCGCCTCCTACAGACTGAGTCAAAGTTTACATGGGGAGCCAAACCAGCTCTACTTATCATATTCATTACAATTTGACTAACAATCTTCTGTGGCTACGGAAACAAATCATCACACGGCGGCGCCACCTCCTTTGAGCGGTGCTGCGTGGTACGGTGTGGTGCGGCGTAGTGCGGGGCGTTGTGGAGCGGCGCGTTGCAGCTTGGTGCGTTGCGGCTTTGTGCGTTGCGGCTTGGTGCGTTGCGGCGTGGTGCGGGAAGGCGTGGTGCGGGGTGGCTTTGCACGGGGGGGTGCGCGCGGTGCGGGGAGTCGCGCGGTGCGGCGAGGGCCGTTCGACGCCGCTTGCGGCTTTAATTTCTCATTGCTTTTCGTCACCAAAAACTTTTTAAAATACTAATTTTCTATGGTAGACTGTGCAGTATGCCAGGCAGGCCCCAGGCTTGTACATTTATTGTTAGAAATAAGAAATTGTCTACATTTTAATGTTAATGTAAACAATTAATAGATGTTGCATTTTTACTTACTAAATAATATATTTTTCCCCTTTTGCTCAGGATTGCTAAGAAAATGTTTAGTTCCCTCATCTTCTTCAAATCAGAAACATGCTTCTAGTTGTAAGTACTTTATCTATATATATTCTTACTTCTAAAGATATTTTATCAAAATACATTACGACGTTAATGCCATGTTTGATTTCTCTTTATCTTTAAGCTCAGTCTGCCGCTACACACACTACTACAGTCCCAAGTACTGCCACGCCAAGGTTTACTGCCCCCTCAAGCTCTACAGCCCTGGACAGCAGCGCTTCCTCCAGTGAGCAGCAGTCAGCTATATCCCGTACTGCAATGGTCAACATTTCGTCGCCTACCTCCATTGACCAAGAGGACCAAACAGAACCACAAGCACTCACTCCGGGTATGATATTAGTGCAATAATGTATTTAGTTAAAAAAATGCTTGAATTTTACACACTATGGCCCTTTGTAGTATCTACCATATCTATAATTTCAAACAAATATAAGAGGTATACTTGAAAATAAATCAATATCTAAGTTGGTTTGTATTTTGAAGATGTGTAAATTCAAAATACATAAATAGTAATGTAAATATGGACATAATTAGCAAGCCATCTTTAGCAACAATTGTAATTGTAAAGGCTGTAAAAAGAGACTAAACATAGTGTTTGTTCAAGTAATGATATCACATCAGGATTATTTATGGTTATTGTGTTTTTCTTTTGAGAATTCATGTGTTTTTTTTAATTGGTTTCAGCTCAAACGACATCCACAGACCAAGAAAAAGCAACACCAATAAGATTGACATCTTCTGATCCTGGACAGTGGCCTGATGTTCTTAATGATGGTGAAAAGAGTTCCCTGGTGAAAAAAGGTCCTCTTCAGGTGACGGATATTGTTTTTCCTCAAAGCAATGAACAAAATCCTCGGAGATTCACAAAGGAAAATTATTACATGGTCATGAGAAATGGTGAAAAAATAAAGCGAACATGGCTAGTATATTCAAAATCGACCGATTTGCGGTCGTTTTGCTTTGCTTGCAAAATATTTGGCAAAAAGGACAATAATGCTCTAACTAAAGGAGGGTTTAAAAACTGGAAAAACCTTGTTGCACATTTAAAAGAGCATGAATATTCCAAACCCATATAAATAACATGAAAAGTTGGCATGAGCTCCAGATAAGGTTAAAAACAAAATCTGCTCTAGATCAAATACACCAGGATCTATTGCACCTTGAGGAGCAGCTCTGGAAAACAGTAATCCACAGGATTATTGCTATAATATGCAAGTTCTACAAAGAAGTATTGTCACAGAGTTGAGAACCTATAAGCGTTATTGTTTAGTTGTTAATTATGTTTTCATAATATTGTTGTTCCGCTGATCTTTGTTGTTAGTGCAGACCCATTTTGTCAATTCTGTTTCAACTTTATGATGCAAAATAAATAATATTTATATCTACTGCAGTATTAACCTTTTTATGTGGTTATATGGTCGGTATCAGGGCCCCCAAGGACTCTTTTGCCTGGGGCCCCGGGGTACCCTTGGAACGCCACTGCTAGACCCAGGACTGAAGCGGTAGACCCAGGACTGAGGCTGTAGACCCAGGACTGAAGCGGTAGACCCAGGACTGAGGCTGTAGATATGTCTCCTTGTGTTCAGCAGGAGAGAGAGAAGGTGCCCATGAGCAAACCTCCACGACAGCCCCCAGAGGTCAAACCCAAACCCCAAAAGAGTCCAGCTGTTCCTGGGAACACGAGCTCCAGAAACTCTCCCATCACCGCCACTGCTGCAGCCGCATCAGCCTGCACCAAGGACCAGAGTGTTCCACAGGTGAAACTGAGGGTTGGAGACCAAAGAGAGAGAGACCAGAGAGACCAGAGAGAGACCAGAGAGAGACCAGAGAGACACCAGAGAGAGACCAGAGAGAGAGGACCAGAGAGAGACCAGAGAGAGACCAGAGAGAGACCAGAGAGACACCAGAGAGACACCAGAGAGAGACCAGAGAGAGACCAGAGAGAGAGACCAGAGAGAGACCAGAGAGAGACCAGAGAGACACCAGAGAGACACCAGAGAGAGAGACCAGAGAGAGACCAGAGAGAGACCAGAGGAGAGAGAAACCAGAGAGACACCAGAGAGAGACCAGAGAGAGACCAGAGAGAGAGACCAGAGAGAGACCAGAGAGAGACCAGAGAGAGACCAGAGAGAGACCAGAGAGAGACCAGAGAGAGACCAGAGAGAGAGAGACCAGAGAGAGACCAGAGAGAGACCAGAGAGAGACCAGAGGAGAGAGACCAGAGAGAGACCAGAGAGAGACCAGAGTGAGAGACCAGAGAGAGACCAGAGAGAGACCAGGGAGAGACCAGAGAGAGACCAGAGAGAGACCAGAGAGAGACCAGAGAGAGACCAGAGAGAGACCAGAGAGAGACCAGAGAGAGAGACCAGAGAGAGACCAGAGAGAGACCAGAGAGAGAGACCAGAGAGAGACCAGAGAGAGACCAGAGAGAGACCAGAGTGAGACCAGAGAGAGAGACCAGAGAGAGACCAGAGAGAGACCAGAGAGAGAGTGAGAGAAAGTCACACACACACACTCGTCTGTGCAATAGTCCAGACGAGTCGGTGGAATGACACACAAACCGCCGGAGGATCGCTCCTAATGGCAACAGATAAAACAAAAACAGGAGTGGCCCAAGGATAGACCCTTGCGGCACCCCACACGACAGGAGAGAGAGAGAGAGAGAGAGAGAGAGAGAGAGAGAGAGAGAGAGAGAGAGGAGAGAGAGAGAGAGAGAGAGAGAGAGAGAGAGAGAGAGAGAGAGAGAGAGAGAGAGAGAGAGAGAGAGAGAGAGAGAGAGAGAGCGAGAAGAGAGAGAGAGAGAGAGAGAGAGAGAGAGAGAGAGAGAGAGAGAGAGAGAGAGAGAGAGAGATCAGGTCTTCCTGGTTCCCTTGATCCTTGTGATGTCACATGTCTAACAAAGCAGTGTTTTCCTCCAGGCCTCAGACTCTCTGAGGACGTCACCTGCTGAACCTCCACTTCCTCCAGAGGTCACACTGCTCCCACCGTCTGTCTCCTCACGTGGACCAAAGGCCGAGAACCACACGATCAAATCCCAAACCCACCAGACAGTCGAATCCCAAACCCACCAGACAGTCGAATCCCAAACCCACCAGACAGTCGAATCCCAAACCCACCAGACAGTCGAATCCCAAACCCACCAGACAGTCGAATCCCAAACCCACCAGACAGTCGAATCCCAAACCCACCAGACAGTCGAATCCCAAACCCACCAGAATCCCAAACCCACCAGACAGTCGAATCCCAAACCCACCACATGTCGCACACGTTGCTCCCTGCGTTACACAAATACTCAGCTAACATTGTGTCGCTGGAGAAAATCTGTGAAAAATGCAATGAAAGCGAAAGTTTAATGACTTCAGACTTAGTTCCAGACAGAGGTGGAGATAGAGGTGGAGATACAGGTGGAGACAAAGGTGGAGGAGACATAGGTGTAGGAGACAGAGGTGTAGGAGACAGAGGTGTAGGAGACAGAGGTGTAGGAGACAGAGGTGTAGGAGACAGAGGTGGAGGAGACAGAGGTGGAGGAGACAGAGGTGTAGGAGACAGAGGTGGAGGAGACAGAGGTGTAGGAGACAGAGGTGTAGGAGACAGAGGTGTAGGAGACAGAGGTGTAGGAGACAGAGGTGGAGGAGACAGAGGTGTAGGAGACAGAGGTGGAGGAGACAGAGGTGTAGGAGACAGAGGTGTAGGAGACAGAGGTGGAGGAGACAGAGGTGTAGGAGACAGAGGTGGAGGAGACAGAGGTGGAGGAGACAGAGGTGTAGGAGACAGAGGTGGAGGAGACAGAGGTGGAGGAGACGAGGTGTAGGAGACAGAGGTGTAGGAGACAGAGGTGTAGGAGACAGAGGTGTAGGAGACAGAGGTGTAGGAGACAGAGGTGTAGGAGGAGGTGGAGGAGAGAGTGTAGGAGACAGAGGTGTAGGAGAGAGGTGTAGGAGACAGAGGTGTAGGAGACAGAGGTGTAGGAGACAGAGGTGGAGGAGACAGAGGTGTAGGAGACAGAGGTGTAGGAGACAGAGGTGTAGGAGACAGAGGTGAGACAGAGGTGTAGGAGACAGAGGTGGAGGAGACAGAGGTGTAGGAGACAGAGGTGGAGGAGACAGAGGTGGAGGAGACAGAGGTCTGGAAGAAAATGGCTGCCGCTCTCCAAACAAGATGGCCGCTTCAGACTACTGTAAAAGCATCGGGACAGAAATGGCGTTCGACAACCAAGGATTCGAGGATTTTTGCGCTGATTTTTCCCGAGAACCTTTCATCGTGTTTTGGAACGAGCCGATCGACATCGAAGCCGCTTTCAAAAGACTTTCGACTATTTTCGAATGTGAAGAGGAAATGGCCAAGTCTCGGGAAAGTGTTTTGACGGAAGAGGAGAGCAGAGCACAGCCTCCGTTTACGTTTCAAGGAGAAGTCAAAGAAGACGTCAAAAAGAGCGACGGCAAGAAGAAATTCAAGCTGAAGTTTCCCAAAAATAAGCTAGCGCAGATTAGCCGCGCCATTCGCAGCCGGAAAACCAAGAAGCAAGAAGCCGCAGAGGTCAAAGGTCATGGAGACAGGAACAGGAAGGTGGAGGTTTCATCACCGCGCCCGAAAAAGCAGCAGGTGAAGGAGCTGTGCAAAAACGCCCTGGACTCCATCGACAGCCTCGAGCAGTCCCTCAGGCAGCTGGAGATTAGCATGGATAGCTTTGGCATGGATAGCCCTAGCACGGATCCCTTTGGCATCGCTACGTCTCCAGACACAAGGGCGAGCGTGGAGCCGCAGAGAAAGAGATCCAAAGCGGCGGAGAGAGGAGCGGAACAGGTGTGCTGCCCCCTGGTGGTGGAGGCTGGTGGTGTTTCTGTTTCTTTTCTCTTTGGTGAAAGTCTCGCTCGTTTAAACACAGCTGTAGTTTAAACACAGCTGTAGTTTAAACACAGCTGTAGTTTAAACACAGCTGTAGTTTAAACACAGATGTAGTTTAAACACAGCTGTAGTTTAAACACAGCTGTAGTTTAAACACAGATGTAGTTTAAACACAGCTGTAGTTTAAACACAGCTGTAGTTTAAACACAGCTGTAGTTTAAACACAGATGTAGTTTAAACACAGCTGTAGTTTAAACACAGCTGTAGTTTAAACACAGATGTAGTTTAAACACAGATGTAGTTTAAACACAGCTGTAGTTTAAACACAGCTGTAGTTTAAACACAGCTGTAGTTTCTGTATGAAGTGTTGGGAGCAGCAGGTCACAGCCTTTCAGGTCACTTTAAGGAGGTCACTTTCAGGAGGTTAAAGGTCGCTCCTGAGCAACCTTTAACCTCCTGAAAGTGACCTCTTTCTCCCTGTAGCTCTCTTCCTCTGCTCCCCCTGATGCCCTGACGTCTCCTCGGCTTCTGCACCGTAAAAGGCCCAGCTCTCTCTCTCAGCAGGAACAGGTTTGAGAGCCACTGTTGTGTTGGTCTGCCCCGGGGCGAGTGTGACCTCTGTCTGTCTGTGTCCCAGCTGCATCCAGCCTCGCCCTGAGACACCCGGGAAGGTTCAAGAACACCCAAGAAGATCCAGGAAGATCCAGGAAGATCCAGGAGGGTTCAAGAACACCCAAGAAGATCCAGGAAGATCCAGGAGGGTTCAAGAACACCCAAGAAGATCCAGGAAGGTTCAAGAACACCCAAGAAGATCCAACGTCGCAGAAAGAAAGAAAATAAGAGTATTTGTTGTTTACAGATAACCAGTGTTTGTCCTGTTTCCTTCTGACCCTGTTCTCAATATTAATAAATAGTAATAAAATGTCCCTAAATCTACATCTATATAATATATCCTGTTTGTACAAAGTCTGATGAGAATGTTATTGTTGTAAAGTCTGTTCTGTTTTTAACTGTCGGCTGGACTTCCCACTCCTCAGACGCTTCCCTCTCCCCAGACACTTCCCTCTCCTCAGACGCTTCCCTCTCCTCAGACGCTTCCCTCTCCTCAGACGCTTCCCTCTCCCCAGACACTTCCCTCTCCTCAGACGCTTCCCTCTCCTCAGACGCTTCCCCCTCCCCAGACGCTTCCCACTCCCCAGACGCTTCCCTCTCCTCAGACGCTTCCCACTCCTCAGACGCTTCCCTCTCCCCAGACACTTCCCTCTCCCCAGACACTTCCCTCTCCTCAGACGCCTCCCTCTCCTCAGACACTTCCCTCTCCTCAGACGCTTCCCCCTCCCCAGACGCTTCCCACTCCTCAGACGCTTCCCTCTCCTCAGCCACTTCCCTCTCCCCAGACACTTCCCTCTCCTCAGACGCTTCCCTCTCCTCAGACGCTTCCCTCTCCTCAGACGCTTCCCTCTCCCCAGACACTTCCCTCTCCTCAGACGCTTCCCTCACCCCAGACACTTCCCTCTCCTCAGACGCTTCCCTCTCCCCAGACACTTCCCTCTCCTCAGACGCTTCCCTCACCCCAGACACTTCCCTCTCCTCAGACGCTTCCCTCTCCTCAGACGCTTCCCTCTCCCCAGACACTTCCCTCTCCTCAGACGCCTCCCTCTCCTCAGACACTTCCCTCTCCTCAGACGCTTCCCCCTCCCCAGACGCTTCCCACTCCCCAGACGCTTCCCTCTCCTCAGACGCTTCCCGCTCCTCAGACGCTTCCCTCTCCCCAGACACTTCCCTCTCCCCAGACACTTCCCTCTCCTCAGACGCCTCCCTCTCCTCAGACACTTCTCTCTCCTCAGACGCTTCCCCCTCCCCAGACGCTTCCCACTCCTCAGACGCTTCCCTCTCCTCAGACACTTCCCTCTCCCCAGACACTTCCCTCTCCTCAGACACTTCCCACTCCCCAGACGCTTCCCTCTCCCCAGACACTTCCCACTCCCCAGACACTTCCCTCTCGTCAGACGCTTCCCACTCCTCAGACGCTTCCCCCTCCCCAGACGCTTCCCTCTCCTCAGACGCTTCCCTCTCCTCAGACGCTTCCCCCTCCCCAGACACTTCCCCTCTCCCCAGACGCTTCCCTCTCCTCAGACGCTTCCCCTCCCCAGACACTTCCCACTCCCCAGACACTTCCCTCTCCTCAGACGCTTCCCTCTCCTCAGACGCTTCCCACTCCTCAGACGCTTCCTTCTCCCCAGACGCTTCCCTCTCCTCAGACGCTTCCCTCGCCTCAGACACTTCCCTCTCCCCAGACACTTCCCTCTCCTCAGACACTTCCCACTCCCCAGACGCTTCCCTCTCCCCAGACACTTCCCACTCCCCAGACACTTCCCTCTCGTCAGACGCTTCCCACTCCTCAGACGCTTCCTTCTCCCCAGACGCTTCCCCCTCCTCAGACGCTTCCCTCTCCTCAGACGCTTCCCCCTCCCCAGACACTTCCCCTCTCCCCAGACGCTTCCCTCTCCTCAGACGCTTCCCCCTCCCCAGACACTTCCCACTCCCCAGACACTTCCCTCTCCTCAGACGCTTCCCTCTCCTCAGACACTTCCCTCTCCTCAGACACTTCCCACTCCCCAGACGCTTCCCTCTCCCCAGACACTTCCCACTCCCCAGACACTTCCCTCTCGTCAGACGCTTCCCACTCCTCAGACGCTTCCCCCTCCCCAGACGCTTCCCTCTCCTCAGACGCTTCCCTCTCCTCAGACGCTTCCCCCTCCCCAGACACTTCCCCTCTCCCCAGACGCTTCCCTCTCCTCAGACGCTTCCCCCTCCCCAGACACTTCCCACTCCCCAGACACTTCCCTCTCCTCAGACGCTTCCCTCTCCTCAGACGCTTCCCACTCCTCAGACGCTTCCTTCTCCCCAGACGCTTCCCTCTCCTCAGACGCTTCCCTCGCCTCAGACACTTCCCTCTCCCCAGACACTTCCCTCTCCTCAGACACTTCCCACTCCACAGACGCTTCCCTCTCCCCAGACACTTCCCACTCCCCAGACACTTCCCTCTCGTCAGACGCTTCCCACTCCTCAGACGCTTCCTTCTCCCCAGACGCTTCCCTCTCCTCAGACGCTTCCCTCTCCTCAGACGCTTCCCCCTCCCCAGACACTTCCCCTCTCCCCAGACGCTTCCCTCTCCTCAGACGCTTCCCCCTCCCCAGACACTTCCCACTCCCCAGACACTACCCTCTCCTCAGACGCTTCCCTCTCCTCAGACGCTTCCCTCTCCTCAGACGCTTCCTTCTCCCCAGACGCTTCCCTCTCCTCAGACGCTTCCCTCGCCTCAGACACTTCCCTCTCCTCAGACGCTTCCCTCTCCCCAGACACTCCCCTCTCCCCAGACACTTCCCTCTCCCCAGACGCTTCCCTCTCCTCAGACACTTCCCTCTCCTCAGACACTTCCCTCTCCCCAGACACTTCCCTCTCCTCAGACGCTTCCCTCTCCTCAGACGCTTCCCTCTCCTCAGACGCTTCCCCCTCCTCATACGCTTCCTTCACCCCAGACACTTCCCCCTCCCCAGACGCTTCCCCCAACCCCAGACGCTTCCCTCTCCTCAGACGCTTCCCTCTCCTCAGACACTTCCCTCTCCTCAGACACTTCCCTCTCCTCAGACACTTCCCCCTCCCCAGACGCTTCCCGCCCCTCAGACGCTTCTCCCTCCTTAGACGCTTCCCTCTCCTCAGACACTTCCCTCTCCTCAGACGCTCCCTTCTCCCCAGACGCTTCCCTCTCCTCAGACGCTTCCCTCTCCCCAGACACTTCCCTCTCCTCAGACACTTCCCTCACCCCAGACACTTCCCTCTCCTCAGACGCGTACCTCTCCCCAGACACTTCTCTCCCCAGACACTTCCCTCTCCTCTGACGCTTCCCCCTCCCCAGACGCTTCCCCCTCCTCAGACACTTCCTACTCCCCAGACGCTTCCCCCTCCTCAGACGCTTCCCTCTCCTCAGACGCTTCCTACTCCCCAGACACTTCCCTCTCCCCAGACACTTCCCTCTCCTCAGACGCTTCCCACTCCTCAGACGCTTCCCTCTCCTCAGACGCTTCCTGCTCCCCAGACGCTTCCCTCTCCTCAGACGCTTCCCTCGCCTCAGACACTTCCCTCTCCTCAGACGCTTCCCTCTCCTCAGACGCTTCCCTCTCCTCAGACGCTTCCCTCTCCTCAGACGCTTCCCTCTCCTCAGACGCTTCCCTCTCCTCAGACGCTTCCCTCTCCTCAGACGCTTCCCTCTCCTCAGACGCTTCCCTCTCCTCAGACGCTTCCCTCTCCCCAGACACTTCCCTCTCCTCAGACGCTTCCCTCTCCCCAGACGCTTCCCTCTCCTCAGACGCTTCCCTCCCCTCAGACACTTCCCTCTCCTCAGACACTTCCCCCTCCCCAGACGCTTCCCGCCCCTCAGACGCTTCTCCCTCCTTAGACGCTTCCCTCTCCTCAGACACTTCCCTCTCCTCAGACGCTCCCTCTCCCCAGACGCTTCCCTCTCCTCAGACGCTTCCCTCTCCCCAGACACTTCCCTCTCCTCAGACACTTCCCTCTCCCCAGACACTTCCCTCTCCTCAGACGCTTCCCTCTCCCCAGACACTTCCCTCTCCCCAGACACTTCCCTCTCCTCTGACGCTTCCCCCTCCCAGACGCTTCCCCCTCCTCAGACACTTCCTACTCCCCAGACGCTTCCCCCTCCTCAGACGCTTCCCTCTCCTCAGACGCTTCCTACTCCCCAGACACTTCCCTCTCCCCAGACACTTCCCTCTCCCCAGACACTTCCCTCTCCTCAGACGCTTCCCCCTCCCCAGACGCTTCCCCCTCCTCAGACACTTCCTTCTCCCCAGACGCTTCCCCCTCCTCAGACGCTTCCCTCTCCTCAGACGCTTCCTACTCCCCAGACACTTCCCTCTCCCCAGACACTTCCCTCTCCCCAGACACTTCCCTCTCCTCAGACGCTTCCCTCTCCCCAGACGCTTCCCTCTCCTCAGACACCTCCCTCTCCTCAGACACTTCCCTCTCCTCAGACGCTTCCCTCCCCTCAGACACTTCCTTCACCCCAGACACTTCCCTCTCCTCAGACGCTTCCCTCTCCCCAGACACTTCCCTCTCCTCAGACGCTTCCCTCTCCCCAGACACTTCCCTCTCCTCAGACGCTACTCTCTCCTCAGACACTTCCCTCTCCTCAGACGCTTCCTTCTCCCCAGACGCTTCCCTCTCCTCAGACACTTCCCACTCCCCAGACGCTTCCCTCTCCTCAGACACTTCCCTCTCCCCAGACACTTCCCTCTCCTCAGACGCTTCCCTCTCCCCAGACTCTTCCCTCTCCCCAGACACTTCCCTCTCCTCTGACGCTTCCCCCCCCCCAGACGCTTCCCCCTCCTCAGACACTTCCTACTCCCCAGACGCTTCCCCCTCCTTAGACGCTTCCCCCTCCTCAGACGCTTCCCTCTCCCCATACACTTCCCTCTCCTCAGACGCTTCCCTCTCCCCAGACACTTCCCTCTCCTCAGACGCTTCCCTCGCCCCAGACGCTTCTCTCTTCTCAGACGCTTCCCTCTCCTCAGACGCTTCCTTCTCCCCAGACACTTCCCTCTCCCCAGACGCTTCCCTCTCCTCAGACGCTTCCCCCTCCTCTCAGACGCTTCCTTCTCCCCAGACACTTCCCTCTCCCCAGACGCTTCCCTCTCCTCAGACACTTCCCCCTCCTCAGACGCTTCCTTCTCCCCAGACACTTCCCTCTCCTCAGACGCTTCCCTCTCCTCAGACGCTTCCTTCTCCCCAGACACTTCCCTCTCCCCAGACGCTTCCCTCTCCCCAGACGCTTCCCTCTCCTCAGACGCTTCCTTCTCCTCAGACGCTTCCTTCTCCTCAGACGCTTCCTTCACCCCAGACACTTCCCTCACCCCAGACGCTTCCCTCTCCTCTCCTGTGATAAAGATAATATAGTTGACTATCAGAGTCTGTGGTACCTGTGCTCTCTGATCTCTGTAATAAACTATTCCAACTGAAGTGATTATTACCGTGGATTATTCTGATGAGTGTGTCCCCCCCTCCCCCCCCCCCAGGGCCCTACATCACAGCAGTCCCCCCCTCCCCCCCAGGGCCCTACATCACAGCAGTCCCCCCCTCCCCCCCAGGGCCCTACATCACAGCAGTCCCCCCCTCCCCCCCCAGGACTTTAAGGTTTTCAATTCTCCAACACAGATCAGAGAATCAAACACATAAATGGAGATGCAGTGAGAGACCACACTGTGACTTCTGCAGCATCTACCTTTCTTAAGACTGTGGCGCCACCTGCAGGAGAAGCCTGGTACTCTGAGGCTAAGCAGGTCAGGTCCGGGCAGTTCCGCGCTGGGCTGGGCGTTAACTTGGAGTTTTAAATTGTTTTAAATCTTTGGAGCCGTGTAACGACAGCTCTTAACAGTAAAGTAGCTCAAGTTACAACAGATAAGTGCATTGACTTTCACATTACTCTGCTCTCATAAATAAATAAATATATACATATATATAAATATATATATATATATATACATATATATAAATATATATATATATATATATATATATATATATATATATATATATTTTTTTTTTTTTTTTATTATAGTTTTTTTTTTAATTACAGTTTTTTTATATATATATATGTATATATTAATTTTCCACTCACCTTTGGCCCTCCGCGGGCGGTTATCCCTCTCTAAGCTCGGGTCCTCTACCAGAGGCCTGGGAGCTTGAGGGTTCTGCGCAGTATCTTTGCTGTTCCTAGCACTGCACATTTCTGGACCCAGATGTCCGAGGTTGTTCCGGGGATCCGCTGTAACCTCTTCTAGCTTCGGGGTCACTGCCCCGAGTGCACCATCACCACGGGCACTACTGTGACCTTTACCCTCCAGGCCCTCTCACTACTGTGACCTTTACCCTCCAGGCCCTCTCACTACTGTCACCTTTACCCTCCAGGCCCTCTCACTACTGTGACCTTTACCCTCCAGGCCCTCTCACTACTGTCACCTTTACCCTCCAGGCCCTCTCACTACTGTGACCTTTACCCTCCAGGCCCTCTCACTACTGTCACCTTTACCCTCCAGGCCCTCTCACTACTGTCACCTTTACCCTCCAGGTCCTCTCACTACTGTGACCTTTACCCTCGAGGCCCTCTCCAGCTCCTCTCTGAGACCTTGGTATTTCTCAAGCTTTTCATGTTCTTTTTTCCGGATGTTACCATCGCTTGGAATTGCCACGTCCTGCGATCTTCGCACACTCATTCTCCACCACCTTTGGAGGAGTTTCTTAGACCTTGGGGTTTCCAGCCCATACTCTCCACAGATGTTTCTGTACACTATGCCAGCCACTTGGTTATGGCGTTCCATGTAGGCCTTCCCTGCAGCATCTTGCACCCTGCAGTTATGTGTTGGATCGTCTCAGGTGCCTCTTTGCACAACCGACACCTTGGGTCTTGTCTGGTGTGGTATATCTGGGCCTCTATCGCTCTGGTGCTCAGTGCCTGCTCCTGTGCAGCCATGATGAGTGCCTCTGTGCTGCTTTGGGCTGAGAGCTGCAACTTTATTAAGAACGATATCATTGAAACCGTTGAACAAACAGAAGAATGACTGTACAGTCATAGATGAAACCCAAAACATACAGAATAATCAAGAATCGTCTATATCTATAATAAATATATAATAAAGAAAAAAACAAATATATTCTCACTGCTGCAACGAAACATGTCTGTTCTTCAGAAACACAAGAACTCTCTGGTCCAGACCAGAGAGAGAGACCAGAGAGAGAGACCAGAGAGAGACCAAAGAGAGACCAGAGAGAGAGACCAGAGAGAGACCAGAGAGAGAGACCAGAGAGAGACCAGAGAGAGACCAGAGAGAGAGACCAGAGAGAGACCAGAGAGAGAGACCAGAGAGAGACCAGAGAGACAAGAGAGAGACCAGAGAGAGACCAGAGAGAGACCATAGAGAGACCAGAGAGACCAGAGAGAGACCAGAGAGAGAGACCAGAGAGAGACCAGAGAGAGACCATAGAGAGACCATAGAGAGACCAGAGAGAGACCAGAGAGAGACCAGAGAGAGAGACCAGAGAGAGACCAGAGAGAGACCAGAGAGAGACCACTCTGACAGAGGACTGTGATCTGGTCTGGAGGTTGTTTCAAATAATCAGTGACTTCTCTCCTAGAAAAGCCATGTTCCAGCTTCTTCTCTGTGGCAGAAGATATGGTTGGCTGCAGGACATCTGGATATGCTAACATGCTAACAGCTTCTGCACAACGGCCTTTATTGGTCTCGTATTGAACTGTTTCTGCTGGTTCCACTGTGACGATAGTGTCTGTCCTGGTCTGCTGCACACTGGGGAATCTTGTGCATGTATTCCACTGTGGTTTTACTGCAAATGGTAAATACCCTGAATGTGTTCCTGTCGTGTCCAGACCTCCTGACCTTCGACCTCTTCTCGACCCACCCCTCCCTCTCCCTGACAGATGGCAGTCGGGTCGTGGTCCGGTCCGAGCGGTTGAACCTGTATCCAGAGCACGAGGAGCACTTCGACTGCTCAGGTCCTCAGCCACCAGCGGGTCAGGAGCCGAGGATTCTGGGAGTGGGAGTGGGAGGGGCCTCAGGTGGCGCTGGGCGTGTGCTACCACAGTATGGACAGGAAGGTGAGTGTGACATCACAGCACGCACAGGAAGCAGGGTGTGACATCACAGAAGTAGGGTGTGACATCACAGCATGCACAGGAAGCAGGGTGTGACATCACAGAAGCAGGGTGTGACATCACAGCACGCACAGGAAGCAGGGTGTGACATCACAGAAGTAGGGTGTGACATCACAGCACGCACAGGAAGCAGATGTCCATGTTCAGGCTGCGTCCTTCACTTTGATAAACCATAAGCAGCGTCTCACACGACATGAACACGTTTGTTACTCACTTCGTTTTCAAAGTAACTCCACACTGTCCTGAGACGACTGTAGTACACACTCTGTGTATGTGTATCTGTGTGTGTGTGTGTATCTGTGTGTGTGTGTGTGTATCTGTGTGTGTGTGTGTGTGTAGGTGTGTGTGTGTGTGTGTACATGTGTGTGTGCACTTGTTTTCAACTCCTGGTGGGTTCCATAACCTGAGATTCCACTCACGTCATGGGGACTGGTTTTACGTGGTGGGGCCCGAACACCGGACCCCACTGGTCCAAGCTTAATAATCAATGGGTAATGCTTTTCTAACGGTCCTTATGCAGTCTCTGTAAAAATATGGAAAGGACCCCTGGAGGTTTACTTTCCTGAAAAAAGTGTGTTATGTGTCGGAACCCTGGTGGTGGGTTGCGGGATATCAAGGAGGGGCACACTGGGGCAATTTCAGTCCAGCAGGCTGGAGCCAATCATGGAGCAGCACAACAGAGGCTGGAGCCAATCATGGAGCAGCACAACAGAGGCTGGAGCCAATCATGGAGCAGCACAACAGAGGCTGGAGCCAATCATGGAGCAGCACAACAGAGGCTGGAGCCAATCATGGAGCAGCACAACAGAGGCTGGAGCCAATCATGGAGCAGCACAACAGAGGAAATCAGGTGTCAGGCTAGAAAAAGGTGCAAGTGTGTGGTTCATTAGGCTGCAGCCAATCACAGAGCAGCACACTGAAGCGCACGCTTACAAACCACTGGTAAGTGCTGACTACAAGTCATGACTTCAAATTGTTATATAGAATGATTACAAATTATTTGTTGTTTGTGCAGCTTAGTCAAGAGTCCCTAATTGATGAAGTCGACTCAGATTCTGACGATTTAACTGTCAAGAAGAAACCTGTAAAAAAGTATGGAAAAAGAAAAATCAAAAACACTTTTCTTCAAGACTCGGAAAGTGACGAACCAAAGGCAAATAAGATTGTTATCATGCAGCTGCAAAAGAAGAAAAATGGGGGGCGAGTTTACAGCAAGAGACACTTCTGCCTCTACTGTTCAATGTCCTGCCACAAAATGTCCCGTCATTTGACTAGAAAACATGGAAATGAAAGTGACGTAGCCAGAGCATTGGCTCTACCTGTGAAATCTAAAGCACGTAAACTTCACTTTGATTTGATCAGGAATAGTGGAAACCGTGAGCACAATGTTGAGGTTTTAAAGGCCGGCATTGGAACTTTAGTCCCAGCTAAACAGCCAAATTGCCCAGTTAAATCCAGTGAGTTTTTGCACTGTATAGACTGTGGGGCATTGCTTAAGCGAAAGTCGCTGTGGAGGCATGTGGCCAGGTGCCGGCTTTCACAGAAAGATGCCCAGGCTAAACCAGGCTAAACCAGGTAGAAGTAGGGTCCAGTCCCTCTGCTCCCTAGCCCAGCCTGTACCGGAGGGCATCAGCAAAAAGCTGTGGTCTTTAATTTGGGCAATGCATCAGGATGAGGTCACGGGTGTTGTCAAAGCAGAAAAGGGGATTCTGAGACTCGGAGAGCACCTGTACTTAAAACACGGGCATGATAAGACTAAGCATGATTACATTAGGCAGAAAATGAGAGAAGTCGGTAGGTTAATTAACGAAGCAAAAACCGCAGGGAAACTGAAAACAATTAAGGATTTCTTTATTCCTTCCAACTTTAACCATGTGATTGATGCAGTCAGGTCTGTGGCTGGATATGATGAGGAAACAAATCAATACAAGACTCCATCCTTGGCCCTCAAACTCGGCCATAGCCTCAGAAAGCTAGCAGATATTCTTGAATGTGACTCAAAAATGGAGCATTGTGTTGATGAACTATTTATTAAAAACCTCCAACGAAGCCGGCTGCTTTTTGAGAAGAGGTGGGACGTCTGTGTTTCTTCTGCTGCCCTACAGACCCTCCGGCAAGCCAAGTGGAACACTCCGGACCTGCTCCCTCTGACTGAGGACGTTAGAGCCATGCATGCACATATTGAGGTATGTCGACCTGAATATGTGCAAACCCTAATAAGTGAGCCAACGTCTAAGCATTGGTCTAAACTGGCAGTTTTGACTCTTTGTGAGGTCATTATTTTCAATCGAAGAAGGGAAGGTGAGGTTTCAAAGATGCCACTGACAGCCTTTACCTTAAGAAGTAAGACTGGGATCCATTCTGACATTGCTCTGGGACTGTCCCAACTTGAGAAAAAGCTGTGTCAGCATTTTCAACGCATTGAAATTAAAGGGAAAAGAAGTCGGAAAGTGCCGGTTCTTTTGACTCCTGAAATGATTGCTTCGATGGAGGTGCTGGTGGAGAACAGAAGGGCCTGTTCCATCTCTGACCATAACCCATACTTCTTTTCCCGCCCGGGCGCAGACACCCACATCAGGGGATCAGACTCCCTACGCCAGGTAGCCAAAGAATGTGGTGCGGTGCATCCAGAGATGCTATCCTCAACCAAACTTAGAAAGCACATAGCTACTATGTCTACAGTTCTCAATATGAAAGAGAATGAGATGGACATACTTGCCAACTTCCTCGGCCATGACATTCGCATCCACAGGCAATATTACAGACTACCAGAGGGGACACTGGAGCTGGCCAAAATCAGCAAAGTGTTGATGGCCATGGAGCAGGGAAGAGTGACGGAATTCAAAGGAAAGAGCCTCGACCAGATACAAATTGAGCCTGAAGGTAATTCTTGATATTATTAAAATATGTATGATTTTTTTCCCCTAAAGGCCACTTGTATTTTTATTTTCTGTGCGACAGGGAGAGCAGTAGAGATCCTCTCACAAACGGACGGGCTAAAAGAAACTTCAAGCGGAGAACCTTCAACCATTCATCCAGATGCACCCCATGGTAGTGGCAGTGCCCCTTCTGGTAAGTGTACCAGGTGGGGGATTACAGCCAGGCTGCTTGGTCCTAACCCTGGGAGTGTATATTGCTAATATATTTTTATTTCTCTCCCTAGAACGTTAGAGAAAGCCATGGTCTGCATCTGAGGTGAAGGCTGTGGAGAAGACCATGACACCTTTCATACAGACTGGAAAGGTCCCTGGGAAGTCTCACTGCCTGGCCTGCATTAATGCCTCACCAGATGACCTTAGACATCGGACATGGAGTGGCATTAAATTCTATGTCAAAAATAGAATCACTGCAATTCGAAAACAAAATCTAAAATAAAATTCCTTTAAAATAGTTGTTTGGTTTCTATTGACTGTTTTGTATTACTTAAAGTCTTGGTAAAAAAAGATTATGTCTATGGGTCCCATTCTGAACGGCCCTGTCAAAGGGACCCACCAGGTAACAAAAACGTGTATGTGTGTGTGTGTGTGTGTGTGTGCATGTGTGAGTGTGTGTGTGAGTGTGTGTGTGAGTGTGTGTGTGTGTGTGCATGTGTGTCTGTGTGTGTGTGTGCATGTGTGAGTGTGTGTGTGAGTGCATGTGTGAGTGTGTGTGTGAGTGTGTGTGTGAGTGTGTGTGTGAGTGTGTGTGTGAGTGTGTGTGTGTGTATGAGGGGTTCCTCAGACTCCTCCTCCTGGTGTCTGAAGTTCTCTGGATCCTCCCTGAGCTTCTGTGGAGGCAGCAGGGAGCAGCAGGTGGTGGGGGCAGCAGGCAGCAGCAGGTGGTGGGGGCAGCAGGCAGCAGCAGGTGGTGGAGGCAGCAGGCAGCAGCAGGTGGTGGGGGCAGCAGGCAGCAGCAGGTGGTGGAGGCAGCAGGCAGCAGCAGGTGGTGGAGGCAGCAGGGAGCAGCAGGTGGTGGAGGCAGCAGGGAGCAGCAGGTGGTGGTGGCAGCAGGCAGCAGCAGGTGGTGGAGGCAGCAGGGAGCAGCAGGTGGTGGAGGCAGCAGGCAGCAGCAGGTGGTGGGGGCAGCAGGCAGCAGCAGGTGGTGGGGCAGCAGGGAGCAGCAGGTGGTGGGGCAGCAGGCAGCAGCAGGTGGTGGTGGCAGCAGGCAGCAGCAGGTGGTGGGGGCAGCAGGCAGCAGCAGGTGGTGGAGGCAGCAGGCAGCAGCAGGTGGTGGAGGCAGCAGGGAGCAGCAGGTGGTGGAGGCAGCAGGGAGCAGCAGGTGGTGGGGCAGCAGGCAGCAGCAGGGTGGTGGAGGCAGCAGGGAGCAGCAGGTGGTGGAGGCAGCAGGGCAGCAGGTGTGGCAGCAGCAGCAGAGGTGGTGGAGGCAGCAGGCAGCAGCAGGTGGTGGAGGCAGCAGGGAGCAGCAGGTGGTGGAGGCAGCAGGCAGCAGCAGCCAGTGGTGGGGCAGCAGGGAGCAGCAGGTGGTGGAGGCAGCAGGCAGCAGCAGGTGGTGGAGGCAGCAGGGAGCAGCAGCAGGTGGTGGTGGCAGCAGGCAGCAGCAGGTGGTGGGGCAGCAGGCGACAGCAGCAGGTGGTGGGGGCAGCAGGGAGCAGCAGGTGGTGGTGGCAGCAGGCAGCAGCAGGTGGTGGGGGCAGCAGGCAGCAGCAGGTGGTGGAGGCAGCAGGGAGCAGCAGGTGGTGGTGGCAGCAGGCAGCAGCAGGTGGTGGGGGCAGCAGGGAGCAGCAGGTGGTGGGGGCAGCAGGCAGCAGCAGGTGGTGGAGGCAGCAGGCAGCAGCAGGTGGTGGAGGCAGCAGGGAGCAGCAGGTGGTGGAGGGCAGCAGGGGCAGCAGGCGGTGGTGGGGCAGCAGGCAGCAGCAGGTGGTGGGGGCAGCAGCAGGGGCAGCAGCAGCAGGTGGTGGAGGCAGCAGGGAGCAGCAGGTGGTGGTGGCAGCAGGCAGCAGCAGGTGGTGGGGGCAGCAGGGAGCAGCAGGTGGTGGGGCAGCAGGCAGCAGCAGGTGGTGGGGGCAGCAGGGAGCAGCAGGTGGTGGGGCAGCAGGCAGCAGCAGGTGGTGGAGGCAGCAGGCAGCAGCAGGTGGTGGAGGCAGCAGGGAGCAGCAGGTGGTGGTGGCGCAGCAGCAGGCAGCAGCAGGTGGTGGAGGCAGCAGGCAGCAGCAGGTGGTGGTGGCAGCAGGCAGCAGCAGGTGGTGGAGGCAGCAGGCAGCAGGTGGTGGGCAGCAGGCAGCAGCAGTGGTGGAGGCAGCAGGGAGCAGCAGGTGGTGGTGGCAGCAGGCAGCAGCAGGTGGTGGAGGCAGCAGGCAGCAGCAGGTGGTGGGAGGCAGCAGGCAGCAGCAGGTGGTGGAGGCAGCAGGGAGCAGCAGGTGGTGGTGGCAGCAGGCAGCAGCAGGTGGTGGTGGCAGCAGGCAGCAGCAGGTGGTGGGGGCAGCAGGCAGCAGCAGGTGGTGGAGGCAGCAGGGAGCAGCAGGTGGTGGTGGCAGCAGGCAGCAGCAGGTGGTGGGGGCAGCAGGGAGCAGCAGGTGGTGGGGGCAGCAGGCAGCAGCAGGTGGTGGAGGCAGCAGGGAGCAGCAGGTGGTGGTGGCAGCAGGCAGCAGCAGGTGGTGGTGGCAGCAGGCAGCAGCAGGTGGTGGTGGCAGCAGGCAGCAGCAGGTGGTGGGGGCAGCAGGGAGCAGCAGGTGGTGGAGGCAGCAGGGAGCAGCAGGTGGTGGTGGCAGCAGGCAGCAGCAGGTGGTGGGGGCAGCAGGGAGCAGCAGGTGGTGGGGGCAGCAGGCAGCAGCAGGTGGTGGTGGCAGCAGGCAGCAGCAGGTGGTGGAGGCAGCAGGGAGCAGCAGGTGGTGGAGGCAGCAGGCAGCAGCAGGTGGTGGAGGCAGCAGGGAGCAGCAGGTGGTGGTGGCAGCAGGCAGCAGCAGGTGGTGGAGGCAGCAGGCAGCAGCAGGTGGTGGTGGCAGCAGGCAGCAGCAGGTGGTGGAGGCAGCAGGCAGCAGCAGGTGGTGGGGGCAGCAGGGAGCAGCAGGTGGTGGTGGCAGCAGGCAGCAGCAGGTGGTGGAGGCAGCAGGGAGCAGCAGGTGGTGGAGGCAGCAGGCAGCAGCAGGTGGTGGAGGCAGCAGGGAGCAGCAGCAGGTGGTGGGGGCAGCAGGCAGCAGCAGGTGGTGGAGGCAGCAGGCAGCAGCAGGTGGTGGGGGCAGCAGGGAGCAGCAGGTGGTGGTGGCAGCAGGCAGCAGCAGGTGGTGGAGGCAGCAGGGAGCAGCAGCAGGTGGTGGGGGCAGCAGGCAGCAGCAGGTGGTGGTGGCGGACAGCATCAGGTCCAGTCGCGTGGCTCTGTACCTGGACCCTGACTGTGGGCAGCTGTGCTTCTACACCGTCACCTCCAGGGGGCTCCACCTGCTGCACAGGTTCACTGAGCCTCTGCACGCAGCTGTGTGGGCGGGGAGCGGGGCCTCTGGGCGGATTACTCTGTCTGTTTATATATACAGTCTGT